TCATGATTAGATGCAGCATTATTGTCGGCACTGATGGTGTGAAGAGATTACGTTCTGTCTTCTTGAAATCGTGTGTGGGCGTGCATGTGCATGTGCATGTGTGTGTGTAACTGATTTTGTGTGTGTGTGTACTTGATTATGTGTAGTGTGTGTGATTTCCTGTACCTGATTATTTGTAGTGTTTTGTGTACCTGATTTTGTGTAGTATGTGCCTGCTGTGTGTGTTTGTGTGTGTGTGGTGTGCTACCATTCCTCCCTGTGTAGTGTGAGTGTGTGTGTGTGTGGTGTGTGTGCTGTGTGTACTGTGTGATGTGAGTGCATGTGTGTGTGCTGTGTGGTGTGTGTGTGTAGTGTGTGTGGTGTGGTGTATGTGTGTGTGTGTGTGTGTGGTGTGGATGTTGTGTGTTGTGTGTGGTGTGCTGGTGCTGTTTTGTGTGTGTGGTGTTGTGTGTTGTTGTGTTGTACTTTTGTTGTTAGCATGTTGTGTGATTTTGTGTGTGTGTGATTTTGTGTAGTGTGTGTGTGTGATTTTGTGCAGAATGTGCCTTTTAATTGGCGAGAATATGCACATACAGTATCTGGTGCTCTTTTTCTGTGACATGTGGGTGGAAAATTAGCGAGCGTTCCTCTTTGAGAATAGCTTGTGTTGTGGGAGGTGTGTTTCTGTGTGTGTGTCTGTGTGTGTGTGTTTCTGTGTGTGTGTGTGTGTGTGTGTGTCGGTGTGTGTGTGTTTCTGTGTGTGTGTGTTTCTGTGTGTGTGTGTGTGTGTGTGTGTTAACTAGAACGAGTATTCCTGCAGGCCCTGTGCTGATTTGTAGTCCTAAATTCAGACTTATCGTGTCAGTTCTCTCTCTCTCTCTCTCTCTCTCCCTCTCTCTCTCCCTCTCGAACAGATCATCCTAGAAAGATATCAAGAGATATAACGAGAAATGCGAGAAACTCCGCTCGCTCGCTCCTCCTCTCCGATCTCTTCCTTACTCTCCGTCGCCCTATCTCAGATCGCATCGTCTCTCTCTATCTCTCTCTCTTTGCTCCCCTTGCCTCACGCGCTCTCTTTACTTCCCCCTCGCTCCCTCTTTCTCTTTCTCTTTTTCCCCGTCAGTCCAAGTTTATATGAAGGATGGAGTCACATGGATATAATCACATGCTTGTTGTATTTTTAAAATCTGCAGTCACCTCTCTCCAGTTAGCAGGCGCTCTTACGTAAGGCAGCTCACCTCAAAGCCACTCGGCCAATAAGAGACTCCATTACAGTGAGAAACTGCACTTTAGTTGATTTATAAAGCTCAGTTTACACACAAAGAATCAGAATCAGGTTTATCACCAGGTAAGTTGACATGTACGAGGAATTTGACTTGATGTCATGGTGCACATATTTTAATAACATAAAAAAATATGAAATAGAATTGGAATAAAATATGTGCAGTCATAATAAAAAAACAAGATATTGTGTGCATTAAAGGCGTTCAAAGGGCTCTACAGAAACACACACACACACACACACACACACACACACACACACACACACACACACACACACACACACACACACACACACACACACACTCTGTATTTAAAAGAGAGAAGTCCGAAAATAACGTTGATTTTAAGAAGTATTTAAAAACCAAATGTGTTATTAAATGATCTCTGGGAAAGCAGCAGTAGAAATTAAGGTTGGATATTTAGCCTATTCTTTTAGGTAAAGGTGTGTAAAGATAAAAGGTTGGATGCAGTTTTTAGGTAACATGTTGCTCATATGTGACCAAAGTGACTTTTCAAAGCTAAGTAGAAGTCTAACACTTCTCGTGTTTCTGTCATGATCTGTCAGTGGATCCAAAGATATTTCATGTTTTGCATTTGTGAAGAGCAGTCCTCCCACAATCTACTGGCATCTCTTCTCACGACCACACAATCCTATTTAAGGGAAAGGTCTGTCCGTGCAAAGCTGTGGCAACTGAGCTCAAATCCGGCAAGTGGAATTAAGAAGAAATTGCAATCTTACAAAAGTAGTTTGTAATAGTTATGCACAACCTGGAGAGAAGTGGGAACATAGAGTGTAACCGTCACGATGAATTAACACACAAAAAGGGACATTTTGTTGTAAAATGTGTACCAATAACCAGGTGTTTTTAGCCACACAAATGAACCAGAGGGAATTCTTTACTTACATAATAAGTTACCTTGTTGTCTAAGAAAAGACCTGATGATTTGAAGTACATGTGGGCAGCATTTCACAACAGCAAACGTATATAAAAACATCCTTTTAGAAACTCTCACACAACCCAAGTCTCCTTCACACTAGGGATGCCAGCGATTATTCGATTTTTCGAATATTCGTTACAGTCTCCATAATCGAAAATTATTTTTAAAATTCGATTTTATTTATATATATTTTTATTATTATTTATGTTTTTCTTTTTTTTCCTGGCTTAGTTTCAACCAAAATATAGACTAATGCTAATAATAGTAATAGTATTAATAATTGTAAATGGCCATTGGTCACACCACCAGTTTGTTTTACTGTAAACTTGGAGGAAGCCAGCTGCGCAGAGTGCAGACTGCTGCTGCCTGCTACACACCGACCCCCCCCCCCCCCCCAAGTGTACAGCACTTTGGTCAACTCTGTTGTTTTTAAATGTGCAATATAAATAACGTTGTATTGGATAATGGGATGACTGTTTTTAAGTGCCGTTAACATATTGTGCAAAGAGACGAAGGTGATGCAGAAAATGGCCTTTTTCTCCCTCTCCATATAACCGCTCTCTAAATGTTGCCTCAGAGCTCCTGTGTGTCTGGTCTGGATGTTTTCTCAGAGAACAAGGTCCGTCTGTGCCTCCCGTCCTGCGTCACTTACATTTTTAACAATTATCTGATTATAGCGTTGGTGCCGAAAATGGATCAAGAGTTAAATATAGAGCATCTGGTCCTCACTATAGCTTTATGGGCTGCCACGTATTTACATGTTAACCTAATTATATGGCCACTTGCTCTGTGGTGCACCCAGACAGCTAAGGTTTCCTGCCTCTTGACGTCAGAACTGCTTTTTGATATCTGCAGAAATGTGCTTCTACACACACACACACACACACACACACACACACACACACACACACACACACACACACACACACACACACACACACACACACACACACACACACACACACACAGACACACAGTTTTTTTTATCCCACAGTTGGTGGCAGAAAATAGGCTTTCCTAAAACAGCTGACGGTGTTTTGAGGATCGGTTTTGGAGTAGTTTTGGAGGATGTTCCGCACACAATAAACCGAGGACATCCTGAGGAAAGGCGAAGCTCATTTAGTCTTTGGAGCCGTACGAGCTGATTGCCCTTTGTTTAAATGCTTTTAGCACTTCACATTTACACAGGGTCAGAGGTCGCGCTGCACAAAGGAGCCGCAGATTTGACCTGAGGTTAAACTGATTGCAATTGTTAGCATTTAGCCTTGAAATCCATCCCTTGCATCTCTAATTATTTATTTTAAGTATCTGTATTTTGTATGTCTTTATTTAAGAAAGGACAATGCACATTAATTAACATGAGCACTTTAGTCCATCATGTGAATGGGAGAGATTAAGCCATACAATGTGGTGGAGGGGACACAGGGATTTTAGCCTTTGCAGACCATTAACATGCACCAAAACCTATATAACACACTACAGGAAAGGGAACACCTCAAAAAGTGACATAGGGCCTCTTTAAAGCACATGAATACAAACCCTTTAACACGCAACAGACACAAAAACACATACATCATCACAGATCAAAGCTAATAGGCACATTGAGTTTACTGACTATTTCCTTTCTCTGTTGTGGTTGTCCCCAGTGTGCAGTGCACATGGAGGGAACACAAGGATTTGAGTCTTTGTAGACCATTAATATGCACCAAAATCTATATAACACACTACAGGAAAGGGAACACCCCAAAAAGTGAAATAGGGCCTCTTTAAAGCACATGAATACAAACCTATTAAAGGTCCCATGTCATGGCCATTTCTACTGATCATAATTCCATTGTTGAGGTATACTAGAATACATTTATATTGTTCAATGTTCCAAACTCACATTGGTTTCTCATACAGCATCTCTGTATAGTATGTGTATTCACTCTCTGTCCTACACGGCTTGTTGGAGCTCCTGCCCCCCCCTCCCTATGAGCCCAGTGGCCGTCTGCGAGACACAGCGAAACCCAGCCCGAACACACACACACCAACGCAGCCTGGCTGGGAGTTTGTGTGTGTGCTCACACACCGACTCACAGCCTCGCCGCATCCCGCCGTCTCAGGGAGGAGAAATCGGCGGAGCTGCAGCTGAGAAAAGATTGAGTGTGTGTGTGTGTGAGGAAGTCCGTGGATTGGTCCATTTTGACCAATCCATGGACGTAACATAACGGCTCCGCGGACGTAACGTAATGGCTCCACGGATTGGTCCATTTGGGTATGGGCACGTCACTGTACCCAGGAAGAAAAAGAGAAATGTCCAACGAGGCGTTCTGGGGCAGCATAGACAGGTCTTTTCTGTGTTAGAGTTTTACTCGCTACAGGGTGTACTTTGAGGGTTTGTGACTCTGCAGACCGTTTACATGCAGAAAAACCTTCATAACACAAGGGGACGGGTAATAACCAGAAAAGCATGACATGGGACCTTTAACACGCAACAGACATACAAACACATACATCATCACAGATCAAAGCTAATAGGCACATTGAGTTTACTGACTATTTCCTTTCTCTGTTGTGTTTGTAAAGTTTGTACCAACAACCAGGTGTTTTTAGCCACGGAAATGAACCAGAGGGAATTATCTTCCCACATAATTAGTTACCTTGTTGTCTAAGAAAAGACCTGCTGATTTGAAATACATGCTGGCAGCATTTAACAACAGCAATACTGTATAAAAACATCCTTTTATAAACTCTCACACAACTTGTGCATTACCACCCAAGTGTCCTTTATTCACTCCCTTTGTGCTCCTCCCCAGTGTGCTGTGCGGGCAGCGGTTCTGGGCCGGGTTCTGGTTCTGGAGGGTCTGGAGAAGGCAGAGAGGAACGTCCTGCCGGTGCTCAACAACCTGCTGGAGAACAGGGAGATGCAGCTGGAGGACGGACGCTTCCTCATGTCGTCGGAGCGCTACGACAAGCTGCTGCAGGTCAGACACACACAAAGCTTTTTGGGTTGTTAATAAACACACAATGATTGCACAATCAAGAAGGAGCATGATACCAATATGTACCCCCTTTTTTCCACTTATCCCAAACACAGAACAAATTCTCCACACTTGCACTAACATCTTTTTTGAACACTCCTCTGAACCTGGGAGTTATCCAGTGTGTTTATGAAAGTCATTATTTGTCATGTTATTACTGTTGTTCTGAAGCCACGTCTATATCAGTTCTCTCACTTTAGCAGTGAGTTTTCACACTCCTGTGTTTAGAGGAACAAATGCCATTGTCAGTAAGGCAATCCGCATTTGAATTGCAATATGGACAAGTGCACTCCTACCTGCTCACTGCACTCTTTAATATGTCTGATAGTAATTCTTGTCAAAGTGTAAATATTTGTATGCCCCGATTACTATGTTCAGAAGGTATCAGAGGGACACTAAAGCTAACAGAACTCAGGCCTGTTACGTGTTCCAAATTCAGTCTCTAAATGATGCTAACAGAAGGTGCTAACAGCTAATATGTAATGCTTTCCATGTTGCTAACAGCTAACTTTTTTTAACGGTGTAATTCGCTAATTTGGAATAATGCTACAGGAGGTATTATTCAATTTTATGCATACTTGTAATGGTACTAGCGGGAGATGCTAACAGCTAAATCAGCATTCTTTCAATGGTTCTACCAGGTAATTTTGGCAAACAATGCTAACATTAGGAGCTTATACTTCTACTGGAGCTAACAGCTAGTTCAGTATAGTTGTAATGGTGCTCACACTAGGTGCTATCCAAATCACAGTGAATACAATATTTGGTAAAATTATCTTATTTAAGTTTTGCTGAGTTGCAGAGAAGTCCCAGCTTACAAACAGTATACTACAGACAACATAAAACATACATGTTTGGTACAGATCACCTTAAAAATACTTTTCATTTCAACACTGTTTAAAAGATTATAATTTCCTCGAATTATATACCAATTGTAATATCAAAAGTATTTCCAATTAGTTTCCAAATTGTACAGCTCTAGTACTGTGACATTGAGAGTCTGCACTTGTTAAATAAAGCCGTGTAAATGCAGCTTTTTCCATAACAATTGCATTTTCGATGACACTTTTGCTAAGTGAGTAGAGTAAAATTGACGTGTTTTGTAAAGTAAAATGTGTGAAATGATCTTTTTAAGTTTGGTGGAGTCTCAGCTTACAAACAGTATTCTACAGACAAAATAAAAAAAGACTTGTTTGGTACAGATCACCTTAAAAATACTCACACCAAAATCATTGAACTATTTTTTTCGATGATCATTTGAACATTGTTTAAAAGATTATAATTTCCTCTAATCATACCGTAATTGCGATATCAATCAAAAGTATTTTGCAATTAGTTATTTATTCCAAATTGTACAGCTCTAATACTGTGACATTGAGAGTCTGCACTTGTTAAACAAAAAGCAGTTTAAATGCAGCTTTTTGCTAAAACGTGAATCAAGATGACACTTATCAAATGGCAGGATTTCTTTATTGTCACTACACAGAGAAATTCCAAGCATTCCCGATGGTGCAATCACACATAACAGACCGTATAAGTATCATTTTGACAATACAAGCCAACAACTTTTAATATATAATATATAAAGTGACTATAAATTGGTCGTATGATACATAATTGGTCGTATGATACATATGTTAGTTTGACAATAAAGAACCTTGAACAGTACGCTTACAAAACAATACAACAAGCAGTTGATAATTAAATATCTGTTCTATAAAAACGGTATGAGGTAGAATATATGGTGCAGTTGGATGTGAACATGTACTTAGTTGAGCATAGGTTCAGTTCAGTTCCATTAGTGCTGTGATTGATTGCCAAGTGAGTTGAATAAAATGTACGTGTCTTGTACCATGATGCATTGCAGGAGCACACCAAAGAGGAGATGGACGCCTGGAAGATCGTCCGTGTGAGTGAGGACTTTCGAGTCATCGCTCTCGGACTTCCTGTCCCGAAATACAAAGGAAACCCTCTGGACCCCCCCCTCCGATCCCGCTTCCAGGCCAGAGACGTGTATTACCTCCCGTTTAAGGTCAGTCTGGGAACAGAGAGATTATCTTACCCAAAAAACAATTCACACCACCATAAAAATATGTCAACAATGAGGGTAAAGGACTTGGGTCATCTTACCTGTTCTTCCCAGTGATCCTATGTTCATTATCCTGTTTAACACTAGAACCACCAGAGATTTTTTATACCTAAAACCGCCACCTGGGTCAAATTGACCCGCTATTAGAATGCATTGATTTTCAAGGTAAAATGTTCTTTTATTGAACAGAGAGTTTTGATCGCACAGGGATGAAACGTATACCAATAGAATCTGTGGACTCTCAGGGCTCGACATTATAAATGGCCCGCTGGCCCGGAAGCATTATTTAGACACCGCGGCCAGCATAACGTACTTTCAACTCGCTCCACAGCTGTTTGCTGCGGAGCGCAGCGCGAGCAGTCTCCCGTGAGCGGGAGCGCACTCCTTCACTACAGACTGTCTCTATGTCTCTTTCTCTCTCTCTATCTATAACTATCTATCAATATATCTATCCATCTATCTCTCTCTCTCTCTCTCTCTCTCTCTCTCTCTCTCTCTCTCTCTCTCTCTCTCTCTCTCTCTCTCTCTCTATAACTATCTATCAATATATCTATCCATCTATCTCTCTCTCTCTCAATCTATCTCTCAATCTATAAGGAACCGCAGTAGACAAAAGGCGTTGCTATAGCAACACGTCATGTTTATATGAAAAGGGGTGGGGTCAATATGACCCGCTGGGCGGAAATAGGTATAAATGGCAATTTTTTGGGGCGATTTCTTCAATCTGACTTCATATTGACCATTTTTAACAACATAGGGTGCTACATAACACACTTTCAGGAAAAGTCACGGACTGGGAGACTTTAATATTTTATTGAAAAAAAGTTACACACAATAAAAAACAGTTCTGGGTCAAATTGACCCGATTGGCGGTTCTAGTGTTAAAAGTAGAGTAAACTATCATGAAATAATCCATATACCAATTGAAGAATATTGAGGGTGGTTGGTTCAGGGATAAGCAGTCAACACAATGGAGGCAGGAGTTCCAGATCATTCATTTATTGGAACTTGTTGATTCTTGTTGTTCCTAATTGTTGTCTGGTTGATCTGGTAAGAAAGTCTTAATTAGCTCATGCTCATGCTTCAAATTATAATCCAGCAAAGCAGTTCTCTCTTTACATAATTATATGTAATGTATAAATAAGGTAACTAAATGCAATCTAAACGGTACAGAAAATAGGGAGATAAACGACTCAAGCTGCTATGAGAATACAATACAAAGGAAAGGAAAACTTACTGATCCTTTACTCAGACAAACAATTGGTGCTCAGGAGGTGCATGAGGCCAGCCAGCTTCTTTGTTCATGGGGGACACGATGTGCCACAGGTGAGCTGGCTGCCTTTATTGATTAGCTAGCTCCGCCCCTCCAGGGTGGCAGGAGGAGAGTAGAGGGAGGTTGGAGTGGGAGAGGGGTTTTCCACAGCCGCCCTTCGGATATGTGAGACATATTTGATCCAAAGGGAAATCCTTATGTTCCTTCAGGGTTCAGGGTCATCTCTGATCTCTGTGAGGGATACCAACCGGCTGACAGGACGTACATATGATTTCTCTTTTAATTAGTACCTCAGCCACTCTGACTCTACCATCTGAGCTCGGGAGAAGTTTCTGAACCTTTCCTATGGGCCAAGATGCCCGGGGTAGATTTGGGTCCACAACCATTACAATGGCATCCAGGGTGAGATTTGGTTTCTCCCCTCTCCACTTTTGCAGAGTTTGAAGGGTAGGGAGGTAGTTCACTTCACTGTGCCGCCATCTCCTTGTAAGATAAGATAAGATAAGATAAGATAAGATGGTACTTTATTGATCCCAATTTGGGAAATTGTTTTTGTTGCCCTAGAAATAAACAAGAATAGAAAGAAAAGAAAAGAAAATGGAAAATATACATGTTGAATTTGACAAGATATTATATATACTCATATATACTATGCACTCATTCCTACCTATGTCGATTAAGCTTCTTAACATTCACATGAAATGATATGTAGTCAAATGTAATGAAATGTACTTTTTTTAATGTTGGCCATGAGGGTTGTGCAATAGGTCGCCATTGTCAGTATGTACGTGTGTGTATTGTGTTAGTTCAAACGGTGTATGACTGATGATATGTGTATGTCCACTATGTTTGTATATGTACATGTATGCACTGCAGGACGGAGTCCAGAACAAATGTCCTTACGGGGACAATAAAGTATATCGTATCGTATCGTATCGTATCGTATCGTATATACAAATATATATATACATAAATATATGACATGGAATATTAATATTAAATATAAAATATTGAACAGATTATATGAGTAAAATGTATAACGTGGTTTTATTCCAAGAGAAACTATGGAGCAGAGAGTTCTCTTCCAGCCAGAGGTGATTTATTGTACAGAGAAGGAGCTCCGTTGTCTGTCCAGCTGCAGGTGAAGAGGAGGAGGGGGGGGGGGGGGGGGTTTATCTGTCTGTCCAGCTGCAGGTGGAGAGGGGGGGTGGGGTTATCCATGATGGACAACAGCCTGTTCAGTGTCCTCCTCTCCACCACAGCTTCAAAGGGGTCCAGCTTGATGCCGATGACTGACCCAGCTTTCCTGATCAGTTTATTGATCCTGCTGGTGTCACCGGCTCTGATGCTGCCCCCCCAGCAGACCACAGCAAAGAAGAGTGCACTAGCCACAACAGACTGATAGAAGATCTCCAGCATCTTTCTGCACACGTGGAAGGATCTCAGCTTCCTCAGAAAATAGAGTCGGCTCATCCCCTTCTTGTACACAGCGTCAGTGTTGATCCTCCAGTTCAGCCCATTGTCTAAGTGCACTCCCAGGTACTTGTAGTCCTCCACAACAGCCACATCCTCTCCCAGAATGCACAGGGGCAGAGGAGGAGACGTCCTCTTCCTCCTGAAATCAATGACCATCTCTCTGGTCTTGGCCACATTCAGAAGCAGATGATTTCCTCCAGTCCACTCAACAAAATCACCCACCAGCGCTCTGTACCTAGAAGGTCAGGACGGGCATATACAACCTGGGGAAGGGCTGCCTCAAGCCGCCCCATCAGGAGAAGATTTGGGTCTGATATTTATTTTGGAAAGGCAGGCAGGGCTGCTCTTATCTTTTGTGGATGCTTTGAAAATGTCTCTTATTTTGTCTCATATGTGCCGGTTCAGTGACCGGAAAAGCCGTGCAATCCTTTTTGGAATTCACCCTGCAGTGTTTCTGTTTCTATAAATCTTTGAGTTTAAACTTGTGCCCCTAAACCCTTTTACCTAAGTGGTTTCTAAGTAGATCTAAGTGAGTCGCCCTGCAGCTCTTCTCATCCTGACATTCTTTTCTTTTCTGTTTTAGGACCAGTTGGAGCTGCTGTACACAGTCGGACCAAACGTAGCTGCAGAAAGGTACGTCTCCTATCATGCAAAATGCACTTTTTGATGTCTTTTATACATAACTGTGTCCCCGGTGTGTAAGGGAACTCACAAAGTGTCAGCAAATAAAACCCTCTCTCTTTTCCTCCGTACCCAAATCTCTAACAACGGAGCTGATCCAGATTTGCGTCCGATATGACGTAATATTAGACCCACGGGCCAATCAGAAACATTGCTATCAGAAACAATGAGACGTGTTTTGGACGTAATATGGTCTTGTTTACATTAGCAAGCCTTGCTAACACTCAGAGCTAACCTGTACTGGAGAGAGTATGTGTAAAAAAGCAGGACATATAAAAAGGAACTCACCTTGTGGTAAACCTGAGAGAGAGAAAGAGTTTGAGCTCCATACTGTTTCAGAGATAATCCTTCATGTGGTTTAGAACATAATTTGGAGTATCTGGGTAGAATTATCCTGCATGAGCGCTCGTCCCTTTTTTATTTAAAGCTGCAGACCCAGAATCAGCACTTTTAGTAACAGGGCTGAAATAGAGGGATATGACGCATTATTGATCTGTTTGGTATTTTGAGCAAAACACTTCATAGATATGTTTCTTATATATCTGAGACCTATAATAGATGCCTACAAATAGTACAATAGGAGACCTTTAAAGAGACACTGACTGAAGCTTCAACCTTTTTGAATGCCTCATATGACTTGTTAGTATTCTTTCATTCCTAAATCCTCCGTAGTATTTGATTATGTGTGATATTGTGTGTGTCAGGGTGTCTCAGCTGCTCTCTCTAGCGACCACGCTTTGCTCCCAGGAATCATCTAACCTCGGCCTTCCTGACTTCCCTGTGGACAACCTGCTTCCTGCCCTCCATGTGCTGGTGAGAATACTTCACTTGTAATATTTAATAGCTAATCATTTATTCTCTTTCTGTTTACATATGTGGTTATTTGATCATTATTTAATGTCATTATTTGAGTAGTTTATTCTTTTATCTTGAAGGCATCTTCATGGATTTGGGTCTGTATTGAAGGCGTGATTATTCACCAGAAATGCACATAGTTTTTTAACCAGGGAAAGAGATTTGAAAGCCATTGTTTGTATGTTTAATTCTTGTCTGGACTATGGACTTCTATCCCGTATAATATTCAGTACCTGTTGCTTTGTGGCTGTTTTTGAGTTAGATTTTTGTATTTCTTTAGGATAAATAATCGCTTGAACTTTCTTTATTTTCCGAATGCAAGGGGAAAATGAATGCCAAAAGCCAAATGGAATAAAAATAAGAGCCCTGTTGTTCCATGAAGTGTGTCCAATCCATGTATTTTTTTCTTCTGTATTTGTGCAGAATGCGTTCCCCATGCTGTCCTCCCAGCAGCTCGTCCAGAGACTCTACCCGTACAAAAGCATCCTGGGAAAGGAAGGGCGTAACGCTGTGGAGGGTGTACTCAGCGTAAGTTAAAAGATGTCTATCGTCTGTATTGTAAGAGATGGCAAAAGTACACACATCCTTTACTCAAGTAGAAGTACAGATACTCGTGTTTAAAAATACTCTGGTGAAAGTAGAAGTACTGACTAAACTTCTTTACTCAAGTAAAAGTAAAGAGGCTTTGAAATGTACTTCAGTAAAAAGTACCCATAACTAGCAGCTGTTTTAAAGAGTACCTGACCTCCCTTTATATTAATAGAACAATAATGTCATTGTTAGCTAATGAATGTTTCCATGCTGAACAACGGCAACATGACAACGTTTTCATTGGTCCCTCTTCTTTAGAGAAGACCAGGAAATGATGGATACACGGATCGTGTTCAAATCAATAGGCACGCAATGACTCTAAATAATAATGATCACGCCACCAAACACACATTCAAACTAAAGGAACCAGCCTGTTTGGGAAATGTGAGAAGTAGAGAGTACAGGTATTTGGGTTCAACATGTAAGAAGTAGAAAGTACAGGTATTTGGGTTCAACATGTAAGAAGTAGAAAGTTCAGGTATTTGGGTTCAACATGTAAGAAGTAGAAAGTACAGGTATTTGTGTTCAACATGTAAGAAGTAGAAAGTACAGGTATTTGAGTTCAAAATGTAAGAAGTAGAAAGTACAGGTATTTGGGTTCAAAATGTAAGAAGTAGAAAGTACAGGTATTTGTGTTCAAAATGTAAGAAGTAGAAAGTACAGGTATTTGGGTTCAACATGTAAGAAGTAGAAAGTACAGGTATTTGTGTTCAAAGTGTAAGAAGTAGAAAGTACAGGTATTTGGGTTCAACATGTAAGAAGTAGAAAGTACAGGTATTTGTGTTCAAAGTGTAAGAAGTAGAAAGTACAGGTATTTGTGTTCAAAGTGTAAGAAGTAGAAAGTACAGGTATTTGGGTTCAACATGTAAGAAGTAGAAAGTACAGGTATTTGTGTTCAACATGTAAGAAGTAGAAAGTACAGGTATTTGTGTTCAACATGTAAGAAGTAGAAAGTACAGGTATTTGTGTTCAAAATGTAAGAAGTAGAAAGTACAGGTATTTGTGTTCAACATGTAAGAAGTAGAAAGTACAGGTATTTGTGTTCAACATGTAAGAAGTAGAAAGTACAGGTATTTGTGTTCAACATGTAAGAAGTAGAAAGTACAGGTATTTGTGTTCAACATGTAAGAAGTAGAAAGTACAGGTATTTGTGTTCAACATGTAAGAAGTAGAAAGTACAGGTATTTGTGTTCAACATGTAAGAAGTAGAAAGTACAGGTATTTGGGTTCAACATGTAAGAAGTAGAAAGTACAGGTATTTGTGTTCAACATGTAAGAAGTAGAAAGTACAGGTATTTGGGTTCAAAATGTAAGAAGTAGAAAGTACAGGTATTTGTGTTCAACATGTAAGAAGTAGAAAGTACAGGTATTTGGGTTCAACATGTAAGAAGTAGAAAGTACAGGTATTTGTGTTCAACATGTAAGAAGTAGAAAGTACAGGTATTTGTGTTCAACATGTAAGAAGTAGAAAGTACAGGTATTTGTGTTCAACATGTAAGAAGTAGAAAGTACAGGTATTTGGGTTCAAAATGTAAGAAGTAGAAAGTACAGGTATTTGTGTTCAAAATGTAAGAAGTAGAAAGTACAGGTATTTGTGTTCAACATGTAAGAAGTAGAAAGTACAGGTATTTGTGTTCAACATGTAAGAAGTAGAAAGTACAGGTATTTGGGTTCAAAATGTAAGAAGTAGAAAGTACAGGTATTTGGGTTCAACATGTAAGAAGTAGAAAGTACAGGTATTAGTGTTCAAAATGTAAGAAGTAGAAAGTACAGGTATTTGAGTTCAACATGTAAGAAGTAGAAAGTACAGGTATTTGTGTTCAACATGTAAGAAGTAGAAAGTACAGGTATTTGTGTTCAACATGTAAGAAGTAGAAAGTACAGGTATTTGTGTTCAAAATGTAAGAAGTCAAATTAAAAAGTTGTCAGAAAAATAAGTAGTGGAGTAAAGTACTGATACCAGAAAAATGTACTTAAGTACAGAAACGCAGTATTTGTACTCCACTCCTTCCCACCTCTGTGAGTGAAATAGAGCAAATCCAGTATTGCTTTTGTCCAACATGTTTTCTGTGTCTCTTTCTCAGAGGTTTGAGCTTCTTGATGCTCGACAGCCGGCTCCCAGCTCCATCCTGAGTGTTTCCAGAACAAAGGATGTTGAGGGTCATGCAGATGTGACATTAAGTGTTGCAAACAAAGACGTCACCTTTCAGGTACCTGTATAATGATTATATATACTGTATATACAAAGACAAAACCCTGATCTATCATGCAGATATTTATTAAAGAACGATAATTTAATAAAATAAACAAAAATTAACTTATTTAATTCAATTCATCTCATTATTTTAATTGACGATTTTATGTCAATCATATTTAACTAAGCTTATAGGGTTATACGTGATAAAATAAGATGAAGATAGTAACTTTAAATGCAAAAATAGATTTGGTACAGCCCTACTTTGTTTATATAATCAGATAAAACAATCTGAATTTCCCCGGGAGTGTGACGACTTTATCAAATTATGAAACCTTTGACAAAACAGTGAGTGAGTAATACATTTCACAGATATCCTCACACTCACACACTCACACTCACACTCACACTCACACACACACTCACACACTCACACACACACTCACACACTCACACTCACACGTATGTATCAGCAGCCTGACCATCTTATCTGTCCTGATTCTCTCTGAAGGGAATGTCTTTATCGTTCTTTAATTCTTCTTCTTCTTCTTCTTGGATGAAACACAGGGTTTGTGACTCACTGCACGAGTTCAGGGAGAACAGAGATGTTCCAGACTTCTAAAAATAGTGGCACTGATCCTCTAGCCAAACAAATGATATCACCGACTCTCTCTGACTCTTTGAAGATGCATTTGATTTGCTGTATGAGCAGCAGTGATTATTTTGACTCCTGTGTATCTCATAGATTGTCTGCTAGCAGTATATTTAATTCAACATGTGCGTCAGTAATGTCTGTCAATTCTTATTTAAAGGGGACCTATCATGCAAAATGCACTTTGGTACGTCTTTTCTACATGAATATGTGTCCCCGGTGTTCCAGGGAACTCACCAAGTGTCAGAAAACACAACCCTCTCTATTTTCCTCCATACCCAAATCTCTAAAAAAGGGGCTGCAACGGATCTGATAAAAACTGATCCAGATTTGAACACTGTCCTGACGTCAGGACGGTGGCGCTACGGCTATTGGGCCAACTCCACCAATCAGGAGGAGACAGCCACGGCCATTGCCGTTCGAAAGCGCTGGAGACGCTGTAGTACATATGCCAGGCCTGTAGATGGTGCTGTTCTCACTGAATCAGCCCTTGCAGAAACAGAGCTAGAAATTGTCAAATTGATCGAAATGAGGCATGGCTAAAATGCATGATCTGTTTGGTATTTTGAAAAAAAAAAAGTATAAATATGCCTTATATAGGTATGGTCCTACACTATATTATTCAAATATAGCATGATAGGTCCACTTTAAAGGAACATTTTCTCTTTTTATACATCATTTTTTTACTTTGAAGAGGTCAGGAATAGACACAAATCAAGCCATTCAAAATTCAATATTTATCTCCGTTTGGAGTAGTAACAATTATTTCTCCGCGGAGTAGACAGAGTTAATTAAATGAATAAGTAGAGCAATGGAAGGTGGGTTCTTCTTGAGCCAGGATTTTGTAATAATTTCTTTACTTGTCACCACAATAATCATAAAAAGGTAGGAATTGCTTTTATCGAGACATTTAAGTATTTGAATTATATTTATAAAGTGTATTAATGGTGCGAAGATAATGGTCACTGAACAGAGCTGATTTTACAGTATTAACTACAGTATTTCTCATGTTTGTATCAGAGAGAAGCTGATCCACTTAATTTGGATTTTTCTTCGGCGTAATAAAGTCAGATTTCTCCGGCAAAAACCTCCAGATGTTTCCCTGAACCTTTCTAGAAGCTGTTAGTCATGTCTGTTTTATTTGTCTCCATTCATCTCCAGGTGCCAGCAGGCATGAAGGATCTGCGTTCCCCCAACAGCAGCTCCACCTTCATCAGCACGCCCAGCCACTCTCAGCTGATGGCCGACATGATGCAGTCTCACATGGTGAAGGACATCTGTCTCATAGGAGCCAAGGTAACTAACACACAATGTACAGTCATGTATTTTCTTTTGTTTGGCCTTAGGATGGCGAAAATTGGATTTCCATTTTAGTTTTCATTTCATACAGCGCTGTAAATTGCATGAAATGATGAGCTGTTTTGTTTGAATTTTGTTGTATGTATGTTTTGTGTGTGTGAGGACCCCAGGAAGAATAGCCAATGCTCATGCTAGTGCTAATGGGGATCCTAATAAAGACATACAGTACAGTACAGTACAGTACAGTACAGTACAGTCCAGCTGGTGAATGTGAAATCTGGTATTTGTATATGTAGGGTAATGATAATCAAATCAAATCAAACTTTAGTTGTATAGCCCAATACCACAAAACACATGTTTGTCTCAGTGGGCTTCACAGATTAAAAACAAACAAAAACATTGTATATAATGGAGTTACAGCAAAATAAGAAGACAAGATAGTTTGTGGAATACAAAAAAAACAAAAAAAATATACAACAAAAGACAATAAAAATACATAAAACATTCAAATTAATTACCATCAAAATAAAATAAAATGAATACCATAACATGCCAGCTCTAACCGAAGGGTTTGTTAAAAATGTAGGTCATAATGATGATGATACCTATGAAGACCTACACTAAACAAGCAGGAGAGGTAACAAACTAAACCAAATGCAGATATTCAATTAATCTGTTATATTTGTTCCCTCCATCATTTTACACTTTCATTTGTAATTCTTTTTTGATTACAATTCTTTATTTAGAAGACAGTTGAGAACATTTCACCAGTTGCAATGAAATATACTTGCGATTACAGGGAGTAGTAAACCTTTGCAATAAGGCAACAGTACACATTGAAACCCTCCCTTCTCAGTGTCCTCTGATGTGCATCTTATACAATGTTCATGAACTTTATACAACAACAGAAGGGATGATTCCTAACAGAGGCATAATGACGTAGTGAGGGACAATCCTGCAGGTGTGCTAACAGTCAAACAAACAATACATTACAATATTCTGGTAATTAGACCAAGCAACCTTTTTCTTTTGGTGATAGAACTAGTGATCAGCTCATCATTACATTACATTGCATTTAGCTGAGGCTTTTATCCAAAGAGACTTACAATAAGTGCATTCGACCAAGAAGATACAAACAGAATCATATAAGTTCATCAGGTTTCATAGAGCCTAAACATTTCAAGTGCTACTCAACTAGCTTTAGATAAGCCAGTCCTTTATTATATAAGTGCTTTGTTAGTAATTCTATCACTCGAAGTGGAGTTGAAAGAGATGAGTTTTCAGTCTGCTCCGGAAGATGTGTACTTTCTGCTGTCCTGATGTCAATGGGGAGCTCATTCCACCATTTTGGAGCCAGGATAGCAAACCCACGTGTTTTCTGCTGATGGGAACTTTACTAATGTAATGTAATGTAATGTAATGTAATGTAATGTAATGTAATGATATTTAATGATATGTAATGATATGTAATGATCAGCTCATTAGTAGTTTGTTAATTCTTTGAAATGTGGCTGTGTCTGGCGAATAAAGGAAACCCAATCTGACCTTTCATTTGTAATTCTATGAGGGTAAAAGTTCCTAAGAAACTCATCAAGAATTCCTCTTAACACTCGTGATAATCTCTCTAATGGCAACGTGTTTTTTTAACGATGCTAAACATGTCATTGGGATCTTCATCCAACCATTATTGTAAAATGTCTATGTGTGCATGTCTGCGTTTATAATTAGATTCTAATCCCAGGAGAAAATTATATGGACTGACCACATAAGATGTCTAGATGTACCACAGCTATTTTTACATTGAAAGCGTAATGAAATCTGATATTTATAACACTGTTTTTCTTGTTTTCTAGGGCTGTGGGAAGTCTGTGATCGCTAAAGAGTTTGCAGAGATGCTGGGTTACAGCATCGAGCCCGTCATGCTCTACCAGGTGAATAAAAAGGGATCTTTGGAAAGATTTTAACTGTTTATTATCTGTCAAAACACTACAGAGCATGAGTAAGTTTATCATGTGAGGAAGGCCTTATCAGTGGCAGAAATCAAATCAAATCAAATCAAATCAAATCAAATCAAATCAAATCAAGTTTTTTATTTATAAAGCACATTTAAAAGCGATTTTTGGTCGAGCCAAAGTGCTGTACATGTAATAAAAACACATTACTACAAAACACAATAAACGACAATAAATTACAACAGATATATCTTAAAAAACAAAATAAGAATAAAACACACGGAAAAGTCAGGAGTCGTGCTCCGCTCTAACTAGAAAGCCAGAGAGAAGAAGTGTGTTTTTAGTGAGGATTTAAAAACCCCTAGGGTCTGGGCCGACCTCACATGGAGGGGCAGAGTGTTCCAGAGCCTAGGGCCAGCTGCTGCGAAGGCTCGGTGCCCTCGGGTTTTGAGCCTGGTCTTGGGCACTACCAGCAGCAGCTGGTCAGCAGACCTTAAAGCTCTGGCTGGGGTGTAGCGCTGGAGCAGTTCAGCTATATAGGCCGGAGCCAGCCCATTTAGTGCTTTGAAAACAAATAAAAGGATTTTAAAATCAATTCTGAACCGAACTGGAAGCCAGTGTAATGAGGCCAGAAATGGGGTGCTGTGGTCACGCTTTTTGTGGCCAGTGAGTAGACGTGCAGCTGCGTTCTGGACTAGCTGCAGGCGTTTAATTGAGGCCTGGTCCATACCCACGTACAGAGCGTTGCAGTAGTCCAGTCTTGAGGTAACAAAGGCGTTAATAACCCTTTCTAAGTCATTAAAAGATAAATACGACTTGGTCTTGGCCAATAGTCTTATTTTAAAAAAAGCAGGATTTGACTACGGTGCTGACCTGCTTGTCGAATTTAAAAGTGCTAGTGAAGGTCACTGAAATGTCCGGTTTAATACGTTAATTTAGTATAGCACCTTTCACAGAAATACAATTCACAAAGAAAAAAAAGAAAGTAAAAAATAAGACCACAGAAACATGAATGCAATAAAAACATGCGCCAGAATTTAAGGTTATCATAAAACAAAAACACAGACAACAAAGAGTCCCAAAAGGAACAAACAAAAGAACACATCACACACATCTCAAGGAGACACAAAGATATAGTTAATAAGTCAATACAAACCAGTTCTTTAGAATCAATTATCTTCCACTTTACGAGGATTTTCCAGAATATATATATATAATTTATTGGCAGGTACGTTTACACATACAGGAAGTTGCTTCGGTGTGAGAAATTGGGATCAATAAAGTACTATCCTATCCTATAAGTTTATCATGTGAGGAAGACACAGTGGCAGAAATGTCAGGTTTAAAAATAATAATATTACGTTTATTTAGTATAGCACCTTTCACAGAAATACAATTCACAAAGTGCTTCACAAGTACAACTAGAAAATGCGTGTGAATGCTGTAAACTGTGAACATTGGTTGCTGAAAATGCATAAAAAGCTGAATATGTTATTAGCTGAATGGTAGCTGCTTGTAGCTACAGAGACCAAGTCAGTGTGTTGCTGAACTTAGCGGAGAAATGCAGAAAAGTGAAATGATTTGAATCAAATTGTTACAGCTCAAATGCATTGCAATGACTTTGTTGGAAACTTGAAAGTGAAATGTTGAACTGGAAGAGTAGGAAAAATAGTGAAGAAGTGAACATGTATAGCCTTGATGTCCTGAAATAGCTGAATAAGTTAATAGTTGAATGGTTTCTGTAGCTGAAAGTAGGCTGAAGGAGTTAGATATCAGATGTAAGTAGTAGTGAATGAATGTGTATTAAGACGCTTTGAAAAGCATCAGAATATTTTAACTGCAAACTTTTGAACTAAAACCAAACGGCACCAATAATGTATAAGATATGTGGAACGTGTTGAAGTCAGTATGAAGTCTCCATCAGACAGAAAACAGCATTCGCACTAATAATAATACACTTTATCTGTGTAGCACCTTTCATGCACAAAGCAGCCCAAACAGTGCTTTACAGAAAACATCATAATATTCAAATAAATAGAGAACAAGATAAGATATAATGATACCAGTGAGAATTGAAAGTTAACCCAAATTAAAAGCCATATTCAAAAGATAGGTTTTTCATTTGCTATTAAACATTTCAAGGGAGTTTGCTGTTCTAAGATCCAAAATTAAGTTTATTGGCAGGTACGTTCACACATTCAGTGTTTAAACCCCTGTGTGTGTGTGTGTGTGTGTGTGTGTGTGTGTGTGTGTGTGTGTGTGTGTGTGTGTGTGTGTGTGTGTGTGTGTGTGTGTGTGTGTGTGTGTGTGTGTGTGTGTGTGTGTGTGTGTGTGTGTGTGTGTGTGTGTGTGTGTGTGTGTGTGTGTGTGTGTGTGTGTGTGTGTGTGTGTGTGTGTGTGTGTGTGTGTGTGTGTGTGTGTGTGTGTGTGTGTGTGTGTGTGTGTGTGTGTGTGTGTGTGTGTGTGTGGTGTGTGTGTGTGTGTGTGTGTGGTGTGTGTGTGTGTGTGTGTGTGTGTGTGTGTGTGTGTGTGTAGTGTGTGTGTGTGTGTGTGTGTGTGTGTGTGTGTGTGTGTGTGTGTGTGTGTGTGTGTGTGTGTGTGTGTGTGTGTGTGTGTGGTGTGTGTGTGTGTGTGTGTGTGTGTGTGTGTGTGTGTGTGTGTGTGTGTGTGTGTGTGTGTGATGCGTGATGCGTGTGTCATGCTGCATATATTTTTAGCCAGGCTGAGGTCAGGGGTGAGTTTGCTGTGGGGGGGAATCTTTCGCCGGGAAGCTCATCTGGTCAGCTCTGAAAACACCGTGACATGCATGGATATAAATATGTGTGTTCCTTCAATGGAAATAAAACTGAAAGATTACCAAAGCCCTTTCCCCTCTTTGGCATTCAAAAAGAAATCATGATAATCTCTGAACATGAAATTGATATGAGAGCAGCACCATTCACCTTCCAGTAAACATTGTGCAGTTGTTGAAGAAGTTGTGAAATCTCTTCTCTTGGTTTTAAAAGATCCCAAAAAAACCAGATGCCGTCGCAATTTATTTGATCGTTTGGTCTAAAACTAAACATTTTGCCTTCTCTTCCAAAATCTGCGGATCAAATCTGCCACAAAAAGTAGTTTTCATGGACTTCAGCCGAATATATACAAGATAAATAATGTTAATATATGAAGGAACTATCTAGTAACCGTCCAGAAGTTGTAGAAAAGCGAACATAATGACCACTGAGTATTAACTACAGTATGTATCATGTTCATATAACTCCTGGTAATACAGCATCAAAGAACGCAGGTAAGACCTTTCAGTGAATATTTGGGATATCTTGCCAGTTGCATAAATGAAGCGTACATACAGTATTTGGCATTTACTGGAATGGTTTCCTCTGAAATTGTCAGAAAGACAGTGGTGCTGTGGTCCGTTTACTGGAAGAGACAGAGAGTTATTAGGAGACTACTCACTCCATTAAAGATGCTCAGATATTCTCAATGTCAGGGGAGGTCTGATCCTCCTCATCGCTTCCTGTGTGACCTCATTGTTCAGAGAGCTTTTCCTCCGAACTCTCCCAAGCGCACAATGTCTTGGAACAAATGGTGCAACTCTGCTTGTCTTCCCCTCCTCAAAGCCTCCATCTGTGCCATGACACAGCAGCGTGATCATCAATACGACAGTCTGGCTGCACAGATGTTTTCCCCTTAACTATAATGTGTCATTAGCTGTTATCTGTAATGCTCGGATATCAGATCATGTGGTGGAAATGTAGGGTATTCATTCAAGAAAATCTCTGTCTCACTGTGAACACTTCCTATTGAATTCAATCCATTTGTATTGAAAAGCAGTTATAAAATACAATTCAAATCATAAGACATAATGGAGATGTGTGAATGGGACACCCTGTTACAATATCTAAAGCTTGGGATAGGGATATTAAACGGAACCTATTTAAATGTTATCTTACTCGCACATCTAGAATTTGTGAGAGTTGATGTATATACAGAAATCAAAAGTTGTCTGACCCTAGATTTAGTCTTTTAAAATGGTCCGAAAACACAGATATATGAAATTTTTTGAAAATAACGGTACAAATGAAATGCAATTTGGAGTAAAGTACCTTGTTTATAAAGTTCTTTTGAAGTGTTACTCTTTTGAAAGACAGTTAAAGACATATTTATAGTGTTATTAATCTAATTCCATACCTGTGGACCTCTGCAAACCACACATTTTAAGATTACGGATAAACATCGGTTCAAATTCTATGCATTTGCAGTAAAGTACCTTGTTCATAAGTTCCGAGACATTTACCGTGTTCAAGTTTTTATTTATTTAACAACTGCCGTCTTAAGCACTTTTTAATGACAGATGCAGACATTTTTGTAGTTTTATTATTGATCTCATCCCATACCTTTGGACCTCTTTCATGCAAACCACACTTAAAGGTGGGGTATGTCATTTATTTCAGAAACACTTTGATGAAAAGGATGATTTGTGTATGCACATAAGTTAAGATTAAACCAGTTTCTAAAGAGTTGCATTGCAGACTAGAGGCATTTAGATTTGCACACACAGTATAATAATGGGATGACAGTTTAAAGGTGGGGTAGGTAATTCACTTCAGAAACACTTTTTGTTATATTCCATGGAATGCTCTTAACATCCCGATAGCAATGAATATATTAAATGCTTTGACAATAAATATATAAAAAAATATCATCTGTGGAAGCCGTGGTACTGTAAAAAGCACGACCAATCATCTGAGCAGGCCCGGCTAAAATAACTGGATGGCCTACCTGCCTGTCAGCCTTCCATCTGTGCACAAACTTATCTCGTGCCCTCATTGGTCATGTGCGCGTTCGTGTGTGTTGGAGGAGGGGCTCTGGAAGGAAGTCTGAAGGAAGGGGCAGATTTTTTCCGGTTGTGTATTTTCAAATTCTAGCGCACTCGAGCTGGTTTCTCCATTCTTACCTACCCTACCTTTAAGATCGGACATTTATTAATAAAAACTAATCTGACCCTAGTTTTACCCTTGTAAAATGGTCTGAAAACATTGGTTTAAAATAGGTAAGATATAATAAACACTGATATAGGAAAAAAATGTCCACATTAAATGCATTTCGGACAAGTAACTTATAATAATAATAATAATAATACATTTGATTTATATAGCACACTTTAAAAACAACGTCATCTCAAGGTGCTTCACAAAGCTATAAGGAACAATAAAACTGTTTATAAACTGCAAAAAGTACCACTTTTGCTCTTTTTAAAGACAGATAAAGACATATTTATAGTGTTATTAATCTAATTCCATACCTGTGGACCTCTGCAAACCACACTTAAGATCCTACATTTAAGTTTACGTTGCTCTCAATCCCTTCCACTTCATTAACTCTCTCTGTTCCTTGGTGTCCATTTCATTCACATAGACTCTTCTACACTACTATAAAACACTATTTGATGTCCTATATATATGTTGAACTGTTGGAGGAGCCTGCGACCTAAGTGTTTCCTTGCCATATCTACATGTAGCTAATGTGCAAATGACAATAAAGCCTTGAATTGAATTGAATTGAATTCTTCCCCCTCTTCTTGCAGGACATGACGGCCAGAGACCTCCTCCAGCAGCGCTGCACGCTCCCTAACGGAGACACAGCGTGGAGACCCTCCCCTCTGGTGACCGCTGCCATGGAGGGGAAGCTGCTGCTGCTGGACGGGATCCACCGGGTCAACCTGGGGACCCTCGCCGTGCTCTCCAGGTACTTTAGTTAGCTTAAAAATATACAGTTTCCTTTATTTACTCACTGCTAAAGAACGATTTAAAGGAGACCTATTATGCAAAATCCACTTCCTCATGTCTCTTCTACATCAACATGTGTCCCCTCTTCTTCATGTCTCTTCTACATCAACATGTGTCCCCTCTTCTTCATGTCTCTTCTACATCAACATGTGTCCCCTCTTCTTCATGTCTCTTCTACATCAACATGTGTCCCCTCTTCTTCATGTCTCTTCTACATCAACATGTGTCCCCTCTTCTTCATGTCTCTTCTACATCAACAAGTGTCCCCTCTTCTTCATGTCTCTTCTACATCAACATGTGTCCCTCTTCTTCATGTCTCTTCTACATCAACATGTGTCCCCTCTTCTTCATGTCTCTTCTACATCAACATGTGTCCCCTCTTCTTCATGTCTCTTCTACATCAACATGTGTCCCCTCTTCTTCATGTCTCTTCTACATCAACATGTGTCCCCTCTTCTTCATGTCTCTTCTACATCAACATGTGTCCCCTCTTCTTCATGTCTCTTCTTCATCAACATGTGTCCCCTCTTCTTCATGTCTCTTCTACATCAACATGTGTCCCCTCTTCTTCATGTCTCTTCTACATCAACATGTGTCCCCTCTTCTTCATGTCTCTTCTACATCAACATGTGTCCCCTCTTCTTCATGTCTCTTCTACATCAACATGTGTCCCCTCTTCTTCATGTCTCTTCTACATCAACATGTGTCCCCTCTTCTTCATGTCTCTTCTTCATCAACATGTGTCCACTCTTCTTCATGTCTCTTCTACATCAATATGTGTCCCCTCTTCTTCATGTCTCTTCTACATCAACATGTGTCCCCTCTTCTTCATGTCTCTTCTACATCAACATGTGTCCCCTCTTCTTCATGTCTCTTCTACATCAACATGTGTCCCCTCTTCTTCATGTCTCTTCTTCATCAACATGTGTCCCCTCTTCTTCATGTCTTTTCTACATCACCATGTGTCCCCTCTTCTTCATGTCTCTTCTACATCAACATGTGTCCCCTCTTCTCCATGTCTCTTCTACATCAACATGTGTCCCCTCTTCTTCATGTCTCTTCTACATCAACATGTGTCCCCTCTTCTTCATGTCTCTTCTTCATCAACATGTGTCCCCTCTTCTTCATGTCTCTTCTTCATCAACATGTGTCCCCTCTTCTTCATGTCTCTTCTTCATCAACATGTGTCCCCTCTTCTTCATGTCTCTTCTACATCAACATGTGTCCCCTCTTCTCCATGTCTCTTCTACATCAACATGTGTCCCCTCTTCTTCATGTCTCTTCTACATCAACATGTGTCCCCTCTTCTTCATGTCTCTTCTTCATCAACATGTGTCCCCTCTTCTTCATGTCTCTTCTTCATCAACATGTGTCCCCTCTTCTCCATGTCTCTTCTTCATCAACATGTGTCCCCTCTTCTTCATGTCTCTTCTTCATCAGCATGTGTCCCCTCTTCTTCATGTCTCTTCTTCATCAGCATGTGTCCCCTCTGTGGAAAGAGACTCTGAAAGTTTCAGGAACAAAGATTCTCTCTCTTTTTCTCCTGATCCATTTCTATAAAAACCTGTCTGAAAAAGAGCTGATCAGATTTTGGCCACTTTGTGATGTCATAACGATGTTTTGGCTCGTGTAACCATTAGCCAATCACCAACCAAGGTAACCCCCCCCCCTCACCTTATCACCTGAATCTCCTCCTAGAGCACCATTGTGTTCTTTGTAACCAAATCTCTCTCAGAGGGGCGTGGGGAGGGGCTCCTTATTTTCATCTGAAGTAACAGACAGAGAATCAGCACTTTGGAAACAGGGCTGAAACAGAGGGGATTATGGGTAATGCTGCAATCTGTTTGGTGTTTGTATGTTTGAACACTTCAGTAGGGATGCTCCGATCAGGGTTTTTGGGGCCGATCACCGGAATCATTATCGGCCGATGCCGATCCGATCATAGGGTGGGTGGGGGCTATGGGGATCTTCCATTTAACAGCGGGTGGAGCTGCAGGATTTCTGCTTCACACACGTTGCATACCGCTATTTTATTGTCTTTTTCGGACACCTTGAAATACTGCCAGACCGGTGAAGCCATTTTGGCGAGCTTGTTTTGCCGCCCACAGAGAAAAGTGTCATGTATTTTACGTCATGTGATCGGCTCTCCTGATCGGCCTTTATAGAGAGCACCGATCGATCGGCCGAGAGTGAATATCGGCCGATAACGATCGGAGCATCCCTACACTTCAGAGACATGTTCTGTATTACATTACATGTCACTTGTTAGACGCTTTTATCCAAAGCGACTTACATACATTCAATACTGTGGACAATCCCCACAGGAGCAATTTGGGGTGAAGTGTCTTCAGGGACACAACGACATGCTGACTGCAGTGGGGTTTGAACCTGTGCTCACTAGCCCACTGCGCCACACGCCTCCCTGTATATATCTGAGACCTATAATATATTGATGAAAAACAGTATTCTACAGATTCTACATTCTGTTCTAAGGTTTTACATGGCTGCTTTACAGAAGTGAATAAAGCTGGTGCTGTTAATGTCAAACACACACACACACACACACACACCCCCACTCACACACACACACACACACACACACACTCTAACAGCTGTGTTTTGTGTCCCAGGTTGCTCCACGACAGGGAGCTGGATCTGTACGATGGGACCAGGCTGCTGAGGTGGGACCGATACCAGGAACTAAAGGAACAACTGGAGCTCAGTGACCAGCAACTGCAAGAGAGGTACACACACACACACACACACACACGCACACGCACACGCACACGCACACGCACACGCACTCGCACTCGCACTCGCACTCGCACTGCACTGAATCGAATCAAAAATCTAATAACTTCACCAATTTTCTTTGATGATGTAACACTGGATGGATAATGAAATATCCCAAACAATGTGTTGCTTTTTTTATACATAATTGAGTATTAAATGATCAATAAAATGAGGGCAGAGGATTGACTGCTTACTGTCACATAAAGGAAGAGGGTGATATGAATTCCCAGCACTTAATTCCCCAGATCCACTTTGTTTGAGCTTCTCCGACAGCATCCAATCAAGTTGCAGGAGATAACCGTCAAGACTTCAGGGTTCATGTGTTGGTCAACGTTAGAGGAATTGCAGTATGACAAAAGTGTGTGTACAAATCATATTGGTTGAAGAGCGTATTGTGAATTTGTACAATTAGAAAATAGATTTTCTTGACAAAAGTTGCTAAAATTGAGGATTTATGTCTGTATGTCTTGGAATTAACTTGAATTACCAGTGAAACAATGACTTGGTCCTTCAAAGCAATTATTTATATCAGAGGTGAACGTCTTACTGATTAGATTTTTGGATATTTCCTTGCATCAATTGGCCCCTAAAAGTTACACCATCCCAACTTTAGTCTGGCTTTTCTTCACCGCAGAATCAAAAAGGCCACAGACTTGTAAAACTTGTGTTTTAGGAAGTAGGTGCTCACACTGAAAATAGCCCAGAGCTAAAAGATTGCTTCTGTCTGCAGAGAGTTGAAAACACGGTCAAGGAAGTTCAATTATAGTAATATGTTGTTCATGCGTTTGAAATCTGATTACAAACCAAAAACTGAGTAGAGAGGTTTATAAAACTGTGACGCAGTATTTCACATTGTTTTCCGGCTTGGTTTTAAGATATTATACTCCAATGACCATTGTTGGTCTTGACCTTAAGTGTTCCCTGGGTTTGACTCATAAAGTGTGTGTAGAAGTGTGTGTGTGCGTGTGTACATGCACTCAAAAACCCACCGAAGCTGGCAGGAAGGATGTTTGTGGTGGGGCGTCTGGGCTGAAATAAACCCACTTCCTCTTCCTCCACTCCTGTGGCTCAGAGTGTGTGTGTGTGTGTGTGTGTGTGTGTGTGTGTGTGTGTGTGTGTGTGTGTGTGTGTGTGTGTGTGTGTGTGTGTGTGTGTGTGTGTGTGTGTGTGTGTGTGTGTGTGTGTGTGTGTGTGTGTGTGTGTGTTGTGTGTGTGTGTGATGTGTGTGTGTGTGTGTGTGTGTGTGTGTGTGTGTGTGTGTGTGTGTGTGTGTGTGTGTGTGTGTGTGTGTGTTGTGTGTGTGTGTGTGTGTGTGTGTGTGTGTTGTGTGTGAGTGTGTGTGTGTGTGTGTGTGTATGTGTGTTGTGTGTTGTGTGTGTGTTGTGTGTGTTGTGTGTGTGTGTGTGTGTGTGTGTGTGTTGTGTGTGTGTGTGTGTGTGTGTGTGTGTGTGTGTGTGTGTGTGTGTGTGTGTGTGTGTGTGTGTGTGTGTGTGTGTGTGTGTGTGTGTGTGTGTGTGTGTGTGTGTGCGTGCCAGAGTGCAGGTTTCAGTGTATTCTCCAAATAGTCCAACATTTAAGAGGAACATGGCTGTAGATTTGAGAGAACATGCTAGGTGTGTGTGTACATGAATGTGTGTGATGTTAATAAACTCTTGTATCCTTAAAAACTTGCATACACTTTAATATCGTTGGACATCATGAGAAATGAGGGGTTTAGTATCTGGCAGGTACAGTAATGGGGATCACACAGACGACCCTTGGATCAGTAGATCAGATTGTCCTGAACCACAGAATCAGTGTGTGTGTGTGTGTGTGTGTGGTTTGGAGCTCTGCACAGGACTGAGATTTGTACAGATTGTGATCTCACTCCTGCTGCCCACATCAGTGTTTCCTGAAATGAAAACAACACACATGCAGCACAATGTTTCCCCGAGGCGGAGCAGTAAAGCGTTATGGATCGTGTCCCCGTTCCCTTTCTCCTAGTGTTGTTTCCAATAGCAACAAACCGAAGCCACATGCAGGGGCGTCGAGACTTCAGAGCGGCAAATTGCTACCATTTAGCAGTTATCAGATTTGGATTAGATGGTTGTTATTGATGTTTTATCTAAATGTGTGTTACTGAGTGCAAGAGGGAATGAAGGGAGCAAAGGCAGGCAGAAGGAGACACAAAACCCCCAGATGAAAAGTGGGATAATGTGCATGATGAAGCTTGAATCAGCAGCTTTGGATGTCTTCACATATGAGATGTCTTCCCACACACTGAGGATCAAAGTGAGCTTCCTTCTCCGCCCACATTAGAGTATATATTTATATATCCTGTCCTCCAGATCACACAGACAGCCGTCAAAGGTCATTGTCTTGTCCCTGACATATATAGATTGGGACACACACACACACACACACACACACACACACACACACACACACACACACACACACACACACACACACACACACACACACACACACACACACACACACACACACACACACACACACAATTCCTAAATTGGAAGCTTCTACTACAGTTTTCAAATGAAGTTTTGATTCTCTGTCAAATATTTTATGCCATTGCCACCCATCTCATTTCATTGCTTTGAATAAAGATTAATTACGTGTGTATCTTCCACTGTAAGTGTGTATGTACTAGGACTTCAAGATAAACAAAATAAAAGAACTAATTGCAATTAAAATGACTGATATTGAAATTAAAGTATGAAACATTATTGACATTATCATGTTCATATTGTGATGTTTTCATTATTTCTCAGGCCTTTTAACTATTTTCTTGTGTGTGTGTGTGTGTGTGTGTGTTCAGGTCAGTCTTCCCCATCCACCCCTCCTTCAGGGTGCTGGCGCTGGCAGAGCCCCCTGTTCTGGGCTCCTCCAGCAGTCGAGGTCAGCAGTGGCTCGGCCCCGAGCTGCTCACCATGTTCCTCTATCACACCGTGACCCCCCTGTCCAGAGAGGAGGAGATGCACCTCATCCAGGGCCTGGTGAGACACACACACACACACACGCACACGCACACGCACACGCACACACACACTTGAGAAACACAGAGCTCTTTAGTCCTTCACTAGGATGTTGTGTTGCAATTTTTTTGTTCCCTTTTTGTGGAAGAAATTGTAATTTTTTGCAAACTCTGAAAGATTTCCGTTCCCTTAATCCACATAATTGATTATCCATCTTATCTCCTCTTCATCACCGCCTCTCTGTATCTCACTTTTCAGACCCTTAATGTTCCAAAGGAAGCAGCAGAGCAGCTCCTGCACCTCACACACAGCCTCCGCCAGATGAACGACCCTACAGTAAGTGTATATATATATATGTGTGTGTGTGTGTGTGTGTGTGTGCACTTACAGGTTTGTTTACATGTGTGTGAGCTAAGTTATGTGTGTGTGTATGTGTTTCCAGGCACAGTCCCTGGCCTCCTCTCTCTCCACCAGACAGCTGCTGAGGATCTGCCGCCGTCTCTCTCAGTACCCCGAGGAGAGCATCGCTCATGCTGTCAATAAAGCTTGTCTTTCCAGGTACACACACACATACACACACACACATACACACATACACACACACACACACACACACACACACACACACACACGCACACGCACACGCACACATCCACACTCAAATTCCTACTTCCTGTGTTTATCTGGGTTGTGATGCACTTTGCTTTTGTTTGATAGAAGTTATTTTCTAATGTTTTGATTGTGTGTGTGTGTCTGTGCGTGTGTGTGTTTCAGGTTCCTGCCCAGCCTGGCTCGTGCCTCTCTTGATAAAAACCTGGCTAACTGCTCCATACAGGACACCCCCGATGCTGCAGAACACACTCGTGACCACAGCTGTAAGTCCCAGTCAAATATAACATTACATAACATTTTATTTGAATGCTTTTACCCCAAAAAACTTACAAAAAGTGCATTCAACCATGAAAAGCAGGTACATTAGCTTTCAATAGGACAACCCTTTTAAGTGCTACACACACACAGACATGAAAAGACTCAGTTTATTTTGGTGGGTTTTCAGTCAGTGACTTTCTGCTGTCCTGAAATGGGAAGCTCCAGTCTGTGTTTACCAGTCACACACCAAGGTAGCCTCAGAGGAGGACTTGTATCATATCTTAAAATAAGTCTTTATTTAGGTTCTCTCCTACGAATGTATAGCAACACAAGCTATCGATGGAGGACACTCTCTCATTGATAGGAGACAGATTGATTATATTGTCATGTTTTTGTTTTATCATTTGTGTACCTTGTACGGCGATCTTTGAAAGGTGCCTTTTTTTATAAATAAAATATAGTATTATAATGAATTCACTTGTGTTGGTAATTCAAGAAGCGCATAAAAGAGAGGCTTGTTCAAATATATACACACTTTACCTACACTGTATTAACACCTTACTTTCATCCACATAGTGCCTTTGCAAGAATCTGATTTGGCCCCAAAACGACTTGTTTAGGTGAAGGGAAAATGGTGGTTTGGGATAGAAAAAGTGAAAAGAATTGGTTAAAATAAGTCACGGTTGACTTTCTGTTTCATATTTGACACAAGCAGCGGTCTCCTATGTTTGTTTGACCCATCCATACACTCCCATCTTGTCTTTACACAGACATTTTTGCATTTTATACAACGTCACCTTGCGTCATATCTTACAAAAAGTCTTTATTTATGTTTTTCTCCTGCAAATGTATGGCAACACAAGCTATCGTTGGAGGACAATCTGTCATTGATAGGAGATCATTCATTCACTGGTGCAGGGGAAATGGGTGTTTGGGCTATTATAATTCAATGATCTTAGAACAAAAGTTGGTTAAAATAAGTCACGGTTGACTTTCTGTTTCATATGGGACACAAGCAGTGGTCTCCTATGTTTGTTTGAAACATCCATACACTCCCATCTTGTCTTTAAACAGACATTTTTGCATCTTATACAACGTCACCTTGAATTCTCACGATTACACGGGTTATAAAAACATTAAAGTGCATTACTTTTGTAGGTAGAAGCAGGAACAGTGCATGAAAACACACACACACACACACTCACACACATTGACTATACCTCCTGCTTCTCTGTAGGTTCGGTAAAGGACGGTGTGTTGACTATCGGCAGTGTGTCTGCTCCCGTCTACATCCCCACTGAGAAAATGAAGATCCCAGATGTGCTCTTCTACGATAATCCCCAGGTATTTACACAACACAAAACACACTCTCGCACATAAACCAAATCTGTAACTGCATCACGACATCGCCCCGATCCTCGTGTGACTCACATTTGATCTCCTACGGGCAGACACAAAACAATCAAAAATAATCTGTTGTTTATTTTCTCTTGAAATGAAAAAAGATCACTCAGACCAATACTTCAGACCAAAGTGAGGTCATACTCCCTTCAGTGTTACTCCTCTGTCTCTCATGTTATTAATATTACTCTGTGCTTGTTGCCACTGTATTTCATTATGAAGGATTTTCCTTTTAGTTCTGGTATTATCTGATATTCTCCAGGACCAGAACTACATGTTTTTGTCATTTTCTGCTCCATTGGAGTATCAGACATCTTAGCCCTTTTGCTGGTACAGTGTCACTGACCTCTGATTGCTGTTATTGAAGGATTTGAATGGATTAAAAAGCAATTTGACTTTGTGTTTGAACCAGGAAAACCCCTTATTTTAATTTGATTGAATGGTTGTTTGAATGTGGTCATCATAAGAGCAAAGATCTGGTACAGTACATACCTTCAATTTATCATGAAGAAATGAATGTGTAAAAAAAGGCTTCATCAGGAAGTTGGGTATGTTGAGTTTAGCCAGTTTTATTTAATATATAAATAAGACATTCACCCACGCTGTACGCCGTGATTGTCCAAGTGTTCTTTCAGTAGGTGTGAAAACAGGCAGAACATCAAGATCTCAGCAAATGATTTCTTTCCATCGTCCTCCTCGACTAGAGATACTTTATTATGTGTTCAAACGGACGTGTGCTTGCCTCTGATTGGCTGTGTGCTGGTAGGAAAACAGCCAGACTCCTCCTGTATACTCACATCCTTAAAGGCAACTTCTAGTGTTCAGTTCAATACATTTCATTTATATATTGATAAACTGTTGAAGATACACAATGACAGAGTGGAGATATTTAAAATGGCACCGTTTGAGAAAAGGGTTTACAATAAATCTCACTAAAAACGTCGGAGAGAAATCATGAAATACACAGAAACATTGCAAGATGAAAAAATAATCTAATCTAACCCTTAGTGTTAAATGTATCCTTAAACATGGTTTAAAATAGGTAAGATATACAAAGACACAAGACAAGGGGTACAAATGAGTCCCCGGACATTTAGTGTAGTTAAAGTTTGACCTTTCTGATAAACAACTACTGACTTCTTAAGACGGATAATAGTTTTATATTTTAAAGGTGCCATGTCATGCTTTTCCGGTTCTTACCCGTCCCCTTGTGTGTTATGAAGCTTTTTCTGCATGTAAACGGTCTGCAGAGTCACAAACCCTCAAAGTACACCCTGTAGCGAGTAAAACTCTAACACAGAAAAGACCTGTCTATGCTGCCCCAGAACGCCTCGTTCATAGACAGGAGATTTTCTTTTCTTCATCCTGGTACCAAGTGACGAGCTCCACGGATTGGTCCATTCGTTACCTCACACACACACACTCACTCAGCCTTATCTTTTCTCAGGCTGTGAGTGCATGTGTGTGCTCAGGCTGAGTTTCGCCGTGTCTCGCTGTCTCGCAGACCCCACGCAGCAACCAGGAAACGACACCAGTAATCCAGCTCACACTGTCCGCTCCTCGAGCCTCAAAGGGCGCAGCAGCGAGCCCCGCAACGTCCCGCCAACACGGCACCCAGACCCCACGCAGCATTCTCCTCTGTTTGTCGTTACTGGTGTCATTTTCCTGGTTGCTAACAAACGCCATTGTAACACATAATCACTGATGTTCCGCTGTAACGGTGGTGGACTCATCAGAACAGAGTGGGCGAGCTGACCAATCAGAGCACACTGGGCTCATAGGGAGGGGGGGGCATTAGCTCCAACAAGCCGTTTAGGACAGAGAGTGAATACACATACTATACAGAGATGCTGTATGAGAAACCAATGTGAGTTTGGAACATTGAACAATGTACATCTATTCTAGTAGACCTCAACAATGGAATTATGATCAGTAGAAATGGCCATGACATGGGACCTTTAAAGAAATCTTATACTGTACCTGTTGACCTCTGCAAACCACACTAAAACCTTTATATTAAAGTTCATTTTCATAACCTTTTAATAAGATGCTTTTTACTAGTTGTGTGTGTATTAAACAGTCATTAAGCTGCTGTCAAGCCAATATTTTAGTTTCATACTTATGTTTATCGATCTCTTGCATTAACCTTTAGCTATAATGAGTATCTTCTCACCCCAGCTGCTCTGTACGTGAATACAGATCAGTTCAGTGAACAGACATTTTTATTCCTTTGTGCAAATGACATTAAAGAGACTTTTGCACACATCAGATTTGAATAAATGCCCATGTGAGGTTTTATTTTACCGCTCTGACGTCCTCTGGCAGCACTGAAGGCGCTCTGTGACCCAGATTCATCTCGTTCTCTCGTTCTCTCTTTCTCTCCATCCTCATTCTGCCTTTTTCCCTCCGCCTGCTTGTGTTGGACACCGAAATAAAGAGTGGGAGATAAGATGAGAGCAACGAGGGCGCCCTACTTTATCAGTGACCTGTTTTCTGTCTTCAGAGCAGAATCACAGTTTAATAAAGCATATGGAGCGAAGAGGAGGGGAAGCGAACCTCGTGGTGGTTTTAAATCTTAAAACACGGACAACATTAAGTTATTTTCTATAAAATGTGAAATGCAATTGACCATCTGTGTTCAATCGAAGTGTGTGAGTCCATTCACTGATGTGTGTGTTTCTCTGCAGCACCTGATGGTGATGGAGGACATGTTGAAGGACTTCCTGTTGGGAGAGCACCTCCTCTTGGTGGGAAACCAGGTGAGTGACATATCACAGTGCTTTTTAAAGGACGACTGGACCCACAGAAATACCTTTTATACATCAATTACTCCATGCTACCTTGGATGTTTGAAGAAACATTGTTTTTTCCCCATGCCTGTGACTGTAATGGTGAACAAAGAGTAAAATAATTGAGGAAATTAGTCACATTTAACAGTGGACAAACAATATCAAAACTAACAAACTCTCACTACTTTAGTAATATGCAATTCTCAATATGTAGTTGTATGCTCACTGATTCCCAAGCACACGCAATTCAACTTAATCCTTACTATTTAGAACACAGGCAAGTGGCGCTAGCAAGAGTTTAAATAGTGGGGTTTAAGGAAAAAGTATGTACAAAGTAGTGAGCATTCACATTTATAAATGAGACTTGGATTAAAGTTGTGGGACCATTTGTAAAAGTAGGTATTGAAATAGTTTTGCTGTTGTTTCTTGGTCCGTTTTTGGATTCTTTGGCATTCAATTTGACCATTTGTTCGACAATAATTAATCTAGTTTTACCTTGGAATTTTAAGTATTCGCTTAAAGGTAGGGTAGGTAATTTTGGAGAAACCAGCACGAAAATAAAAATATTTGAAAAAATATTTGAAAATACACAACCGGAGAAAATCTGCCACTTCCTTACAGAGCCCCTCCTCCAACACACACGAACGCGCACATGACCAATGAGGGCACGAGATAAGTTTGTGCACAGATGGAAGGCTGACAGGCAGGTAGGCCATCCAGTTATTTTAGCCGGGCCGGCTCAGATGATTGGTCGTGCTTTTTACAGTACTACGGCTTCCACAGATTAACTTTTTTTATGGATTTTTTGTCAAAGCACTTCAGATATTCATTGCTATCGGGATGTTAAGAGCATTCCATGGAATATAACAACAAGTGTATCTCGAGCCGGTTTCTCAAACTTACCTACCCCACCTTTAAATGTAAAATACTAAAACCTACTGCTGTATTTTAGAGTCCCCCTCTTCCTAGAAAATATCCGATCCGATAGCTTTTATCCAAGGAGGTCCAATTATGATCACTGTCATGATCCCTCTTTGGTGTTGTGTAATATAAACAGAGCTTTGACTCATGCTTGCAGAACGTGGGGGGAAGGGGGGGGGGGGGGGGGAGGGTCGATCTCATTTTTGGAAGAACATGGGTGTGAAGTAGAGAACACATGTCAGCCCTGTGTGAGTGTGGAGGGTGAAGAAGCAAGATCCCTGATGTCACCCTCCTCTCACACACACACACACACGCACACGCACACGCGCACACACACACACACACACATACGCAGCTCCCCTCAGTCTGGTCCTTTAGGGTGATTATCTAATACAAAGCATCGTGACCGTGCACAGGCGTGAGGAGGACATTAGTATCTGTCTCTATCTTTCTGAGAGGAAGAGGAGACTCCATGTGAAGCCCCGAACAACCACCCTTGTCAGAACGAAGTAACATCAAAACTATAAAGGGACACACTGAGCTCTCCCTCTCAGCGCTTTCTCTCTTTAAAACCACTGTCACTGAAACACAGCTGCTCTCAGACCTCATTAACTCTGCCGGTCACTCAATGTGTGTTTTTGTTATCCTCCCACAGGGTGTTGGTAAGAATAAGATAGTGGACCGATTCCTGCACCTCCTGAACAGACCCAGAGAATACCTGCAGCTCCACAGGTGAGGGGAAACGTGGTATTTTGAAGTGTACACGAGAGGTGGAAGAAGTACTCACATCTTGTACTTGAGTAAAAGTAGAAGTACTCAGATCTTGTGCTTGAGTAAAAGTAGAAGTACTCAGATCTTGTGCTTGAGTAAAAGTAGAAGTACTCAGATCTTGTACTTGAGTAAAAGTAGAAGTACTCAGATCTTGTACTTGAGTAAAAGTAGAAGTACTCAGATCTTGTTCTTGAGTAAAAGTAGAAGTACTCAGGTCTTGTACGAGTAAAAGTAGAAGTACTCAGATCTTGTTCTTGAGTAAAAGTAGAAGTACTCAGATCTTGTACGAGTAAAAGTAGAAGTACTCAGATCTTGTACGAGTAAAAGTAGAAGTACTCAGATATTGTACTTCAGTAAAAGTAGAAGTACTCAGATCTTGTACTTGAGTAAAAGTAGAAGTACTCAGATCTTGTACTTCAGTAAAAGTAGAAGTACTCAGATCTTGTACTTGAGTAAAAGTAGAAGTACTCAGATCTTGTTCTTGAGTAAAAGTAGTAGTATTCAGATCTTGTTCTTGAGTAAAAGTAGTAGTACTCAGATCTTGTACTTGAGTAAAAGTAGTAGTACTCAGATCTTGTACTTCAGTAAAAGTAGAAGTACTCAGGTCTTGTACTTCAGTAAAAGTAGAAGTACTCAGATCTTGTACTTGAGTAAAAGTATAAGTACACAGATCTTGTACTTGAGTAAAAGTAGAAGTACTCAGATCTTGTACTTGAGTAAAAGTAGAAGTACTCAGATCTTGTACTTGAGTAAATGTAGAAGTACTCAGATCTTGTACTTGAGTAAAAGTAGAAGTACCAGAGTGTAGGAATACTCTGTTACAGTAAAAGTCCTGCATTCAAAATGTTCCTCAAGTGAAAGTAGAAAAGTATTATCATCAAAATATAGTGAAAGTAGCGACAGTAAAAGTAGTCATTGTGCAGATTGGTCCATTTCAGAATAATATATATGATATGTTTTATAATGATTGATCATGAAAGTGTTCTCAAAGCTGGTAAAGGTGCAGCTAGTTTGAATGACTTTGTATACTGCAGGGGAGCTTGTGGATTTACTCCAGGTGGAACTGAAGTCTGATTTAACACTTGATTATATTTCACATCATTCATCCACATCTGTAAAGTAACTAAAGGTATTAAATACATGTAGTGGAGGAAAAGTACACCTCTGAAGTGAGTAGAAGTACAAAGTAGCATAAAATGGAAAGTACCTCAAACAAGATGACTGTAGCTACTGTTGCTTTTCAGGAATCACAATCACATGTTTCTAAAGTACTTGTAGTTCTTGGATAGCAGGAACAAGGCATCCCTATGAGCAGTGAGCAGTCTGAGTTGTTTCTCCTACTTTCCTGCCAGCCTTGGCCTTCCCATCAAAAGATTGTCAAAAACTATTTTGGTCCTCAGTGAAGTAGGCCATCCTTCCCCAGAAACAGGGCTTCACATGGCTCACATATTAAAGAAGTAACTCCAGATTACTGCTTCCATAAATATACTCCCACTATGAGGTCAACGTTCCTCGTGCAGAGATCACTGCATCGTGTGCTCTGAAATCAGGCTGGCTTTTGAATTTGCTGAAGATCAATGTGAGGTAGAGAGGGGCTTGTATTGATTTTTAGCCCTAATAATCAGAGATGGCAAAAGTACACACACCCTTTACTCAAGTAGAAGTACACATACTCGTGTTTAAAAATACTCTGGTAAAGTAGAAGTACTGACTAAACTTCTTTACTCAAGTAAAAGTAAAGAGGGCTTTGAAATGTACTTCAGTAAAAAGTACCCATAACTAGCAGCTGTTTTAAAGAGTACCTGACCTCCCTTTATATTAATAGAACAATAATGTCATTGTTAGCTAATGAATGTTTCCATGCTGAACAACGGCAACATGACAACGTTTTCATTGGTCCCTCTTCTTTAGAGAAGACCAGGAAATGATGGATACACGGATCGTGTTCAAATCAATAGGCACGCAATGACTCTAAATAATAATGATCACGCCACCAAACACACATTCAAACTAAAGGAACCAGCCTGTTTGGGAATGTGAGAAGTAGAAAGTACAGGTATTTGGGTTCAACATGTAAGAAGTAGAAAGTACAGGTATTTGGGTTCAAAATGTAAGAAGTAGAAAGTACAGGTATTTGTGTTCAACATGTAAGAAGTAGAAAGTACAGGTATTTGTGTTCAACATGAAAGAAGTAGAAAGTACAGGTATTTGTGTTCAACATGTAAGAAGTAGAAAGTTCAGGTATTTGTGTTCAAAGTGTAAGAAGTAGAAAGTACAGGTATTTGTGTTCAACATGTAAGAAGTAGAAAGTACAGGTATTTGTGTTCAACATGTAAGAAGTAGAAAGTTCAGGTATTTGTGTTCAAAGTGTAAGAAGTAGAAAGTACAGGTATTTGTGTTCAACATGAAAGAAGTAGAAAGTACAGGTATTTGTGTTCAACATGTAAGAAGTAGAAAGTACAGGTATTTGTGTTCAAAGTGTAAGAAGTAGAAAGTACAGGTATTTGTGTTCAACATGTAAGAAGTAGAAAGTACAGGTATTTGTGTTCAACATGTAAGAAGTAGAAAGTTCAGGTATTTGTGTTCAAAGTGTAAGAAGTAGAAAGTACAGGTATTTGTGTTCAACATGTAAGAAGTAGAAAGTACAGGTATTTGTGTTCAAAGTGTAAGAAGTAGAAAGTACAGGTATTTGTGTTCAAAATGTGAGAAGTAGAAAGTACAGGTATTTGTGTTCAAAGTGTAAGAAGTAGAAAGTACAGGTATTTGTGTTCAACATGTAAGAAGTAGAAAGTACAGGTATTTGTGTTCAAAGTGTAAGAAGTAGAAAGTACAGGTATTTGTGTTCAAAATGTAAGAAGTAGAAAGTACAGGTATTTGTGTTCAAAATGTGAGAAGTAGAAAGTACAGGTATTTGTGTTCAAAGTGTAAGAAGTAGAAAGTACAGGTATTTGTGTTCAAAGTGTAAGAAGTAGAAAGTACAGGTATTTGTGTTCAAAATGTAAGAAGTAGAAAGTACAGGTATTTGTGTTCAAAATGTAAGAAGTAGAAAGTACAGGTATTTGGGTTCAAAATGTAAAAAGTCAAAGTAAAAAGTCGTCAGAAAAATAATTCGTGGAGTAAAGTACTGATACCAGAAAAATGTATTTGAACGAAGTATTTGTACTCCAATACTTCCCACCTCTGCTAATAAGAAGGCAGTGTTTTGCAGGTCAATGACGGGAGAAAAGCACCAGACAGGGCCAATAAAAGTCACCCCTTCTAAACACCTGGAGAAAGTATTTGTTTAATCTGCAGTTTGTCAAAGTCTTGTGAAAGTCAAAGTGGAGCAGAGCATGCATGTGGCCTAGCTTCTGTAGCAGCAGCAGCTAATATTAGACGGAGGCTGGAGGATCTGTGTGTGTGTGTGTGTGAGTGTGTGTGTGTGTGTGTGAGAGAAGCTGCAAAGAATGAAAGTAGGACAGATCCTGGGTCACACTGAGACATACCGAGGAGGACGGGTTAAAGATAGAGACTTTAGATAAAGAGGGAGCGGTAACTGTGGAAGCAACGAGGGAATCAAAGTTATTGGAGATGCTTTTATATTATATTAGGTTTGTGTCATGTGGAACAAAAGCACAGTGACCTGGTCTGCATCAAATGGTCCTCAGGTGAAGAAACATTGCACAGGAAACAGTCATGCAAATGCCCTGTAGACGAGTAATATCTGTCACCTCTGGAGGTCAATAGAGAACCAAACAGCCTCTGCAACAGCACAGTATAAATAGGGCTAGCATTCAAATGTCATATTCGACCTAATCAGTTTTTAACGAGGCATTTTAACGCTTTATTTGTAACGTTATCATGCAACATTCTGGTTTTTTTGCATCTTGATTCATTGTGTTTAAACCTGGTGCACAGATAAAGATACGGCTACGCTAATATTGAAAGTATTATACTGTTTGTAGAATATGATTCCAGTGCGGACTGTGTTTTCGATTGCTATGATCCGAACACTTTCACTAACTCCAGCGTCAACAGGTCAACATTTATTAAAAAAGATCGATGATTTCCAAAACTCTCAACAAGATCTTCTGTTTCAATCCCTTTCAATTCAGTTTGCTCACAGCACACAGAGAGGCAATCTGATCAATCACATTATTCTCAGACAGACAGTTTTATTTTCCGAAACACTTTCTAAAAGATTTGACAGTAAAAGAAAACAACAACATTCTGTACTGTCTCCATTTTTGACACATGAGAACAAAAGACATAATTATAAGTAATGAATGAATGAATGTCTACACCATGTTTTCTGCTCCTCCAGAGACACAACGGTCCAGACTCTGACCCTGCAGCCCTCAGTCAGAGACGGCATCATCATGTACGAGGACTCACCTCTGGTCAGTGGCGCACACACACACACACACTCACTCACTCACTCACTCACTCACTCACTCACTCACACACTCACACACACACACACTCACTAAATGCAATAAGAACCAAGAGATATAATCAAATATTGACATGTTGGCCCTGATACACTTGTGTTGTAATTAGACTCAGAGTAGCATATTAACAAAAGCAAGGCATCAGGTCATTCTCTGTCCTCCTTTACTTTCTCATTCTCAATTCCCTCCTTTCTGACATGTTGACTTGTCATAGAAGGAAAAAAAACTGCTAACATTAATAATGGATCCATTTAATTAAATGTCCCAGTTAGCCATGCCAATGATGCTTAAAAGCACAAACTGGAACACCTTCATGAAATGAGGCCATAATTAAAGCTGCTATGAACAGACGTCCACCTCTCCTGTGTGATCAGGGGAACAAAAAGACTGAAACTTTAGTAGAAGACAGAGAACAGGAACCCCTTCAAGAACTGGTGAGATCCAGGAAGTGTGACCTCACGTCTGTTCCAGGAAATTGAATTAACTTTGACATCGAGTTGGACTCAAGGAAGAGCTGATAAGAATTTGCTACTTAAGCTCAAAGTCATTGCGACCCCAGAACAAAGAGGTTTTTGGCCATAAATCACGAGCTAATTATGACAACTCTACTCTATTTTGGAGAGGTATGGATGTAAACTGCAGCATTTAACCGTGAGACTATAATTCTAGTTTACTAATCATTCACACACTGTACATTTGAGATTTGGGGAGGGGCTCCTTATTTTCATCTAAAGTAACAGACAGAGAATCAGCACTTTGGAAACAGGGCTGAAACAGAGGGGATTATGGGTAATGCTGCAATGATCTGTTTGGTGTTTCAGCCAATCAGAGACAGCTTCTGTATATATCTGAGACCTGTGATATATTGATGAGAAACAGTATAATAGGGGACCTTTAATGGTTATCCAAAACAGATAAAACAATATATATTGTTAGTGCTTTTTTACCCAGGTGTTTTGTGTGTGTGTGTGTGTGTGTGTGTGCAGGTGAAGGCGGTGAAACAGGGGAACATATTAGTGATCGACGAGGCAGACAAAGCTCCCACTAACGTCACCTGCATCCTCAAAACTCTGGTGGAGAGCGGAGAGATGATCCTGGCCGACGGACGCAGAATCATCTCAGGTGCACACACACACACACACACACACACACACACACACACACACACACACACACACACACACACACACACACACACACACACACACACACACACACACACACACACACACACACAGTAGACACGTCCCAGATACAGAGTGCAGACAGGAGCTGGAGCATTAACTGGAGGAGCTGAGGATAGGATGACCCAGAACACAAACATCAGATGCAGGCCACTAAAGGAGGCTTAGGATAAAAGCCTTTGTGGACAGGTACCAGTAGATTTGACCATAAACATGTATATATTTCCTAAGTAGTCCCACGTAATCGCAGGAGTTGCTGACAGCTGCTTCATTCCTGCGAGGCTCTTCCTCCCGGAGGAATGTAAACGCCACACTGACACTTCATAAACACAAACTTGAGACTCCTCCAGATGCTATGAGCTCTGTAGTAGTGTGTACGGGACACAGAGTATATGTTCTTGTTTTGGTGTTTGTTTGCTTGTTCTGTCGTGCTAACTATGATTTCTTCTCCACCACAGATGCACGTGAAGCTGAAGGGAGGCCGAACACCATCGTCATGCACCCAGACTTCAGGATGCTCGTCTTGGCTAACCGCCCTGGTTTTCCTTTCCTGGGAAATGACTTCTTCGGATCTCTAGGTACTCACACACACACACAACACCCACAACCTACAGCAGAGGAATAGTTACCTCCCAATTGTACATATATGTATATTTAAAGACTAAGCAGCTTAGATACATAGAGTTGGGCAGAAATGAGTCCTAAAGCCTGCAAATGAATTAGCGTTTTACCACTTCCCCTCATCTAGAAGTTAATTAAAGGATGTTTGGTTGTTATCCTGAAATAAGCTCTGTGGTTAACACTGAATAGATTTTAACGTTTTGTTCTACGACATAAAACACGTCAGTAAATACCCCACTGGTGAGTTTAAAAACGGCGGTAGCTAATAACAAGTGTCTAAATGAGACGACTAAACGTCATCACGCCCAACATTAGCCGCCTTTAGCTTAGCGGTGGTGACGTGAAGTCATGTGACCGTGCTGTAGTTCCTTTATAGCCCAACATTAGCCACCTTTAGCTTAGCGGTGGTGACGTGAAGTCATGTGACCGTGCTGTGGTTCCTTTATAGCCCAACATTAGCCACCTTTAGCTTAGCGGTGGTGACGTGAAGTCATGTGACCGTGCTGTAGTTCCTTTATAGCCCAACATTAGCCACCTTTAGCTTAGCGGTGGTGATGTGAAGTCATGTGACCGTGCTGTAGTTCCTTTATAGCCCAACATTAGCCACCTTTAGCTTAGCGGTGGTGACGTGAAGTCATGTGACCGTACTGTAGTTCCTTTATAGCCCAACATTAGCCTCCTTTAGCTTAGCGGTGGTGAAGTCATGTGACCGTGCTGTAGTTCCTTTATAGCCCAACATTAGCCTCCTTTAGCTTAGCGGTGGTGACGTGAAGTCATGTGACCGTGCTGTAGTTCCTTTATAGCCCAACATTAGCCTCCTTTAGCTTAGCGGTGGTGAAGTCATGTGACCGTGCTGTAGTTCCTTTATAGCCCAACATTAGCCGCCTTTAGCTTAGCGGTGGTGACGTGAAGTCATGTGACCGTGCTGTAGTTCCTTTATAGCCCAACATTAGCCTCCTTTAGCTTAGCGGTGGTGAAGTCATGTGACCGTGCTGTAGTTCCTTTATAGCCCAACATTAGCCTCCTTTAGCTTAGCGGTGGTGACGTGAAGTCATGTGACCGTGCTGTAGTTCCTTTATAGCCCAACATTAGCCTCCTTTAGCTTAGCGGTGGTGACGTGAAGTCATGTGACCGTGCTGTAGTTCCTTTATAGCCCAACATTAGCCACCTTTAGCTTAGCGGTGGTGACGTGAAGTCATGTGACCGTGCTGTAGTTCCTTTATAGCCCAACATTAGCCACCTTTAGCTTAGCGGTGGTGACGTGAAGTCATGTGACCGTGCTGTAGTTCCTTTATAGCCCAACATTAGCCACCTTTAGCTTAGCGGTGGAGACGTGAAGTCATGTGACCGTGCTGTAGTTCCTTTATAGCCCAACATTAGCCACCTTTAGCTTAGCGGTGGTGACGTGAAGTCATGTGACCGTGCTGTAGTTCCTTTATAGCCCAACATTAGCCTCCTTTAGCTTAGCGGTGGTGACGTGAAGTCATGTGACCGTGCTGTAGTTCCTTTATAGCCCAACATTAGCCTCCTTTAGCTTAGCGGTGGTGACGTGAAGTCATGTGACCGTGCTGTAGTTCCTTTATAGCCCAACATTAGCTTTTTAATTCAAAGCGGTGTTAATATGTGGAGATTATTCTGCTGAACAAAATGTGTAAGTTTGCTTTTAGTCTTTTAGTTCCTTACTTGCAATCTACTCTCATCTCCTGAGTCGAGTGCAAGTAAAGAAGTCTGGGATGTTACAGTGTAAGTCAAGGGTTGACTCAGGAGAGAGTAGAGATGGAGTAAATGAGGAAGAGATGAGAAATTACATTTAATAAAGATGCCTGCAGAGACTGAAGCTGTGGTTTAGTGAGCACCTTGAACCTCAGGTCGACAGAGAGCCCTCAGTGATATTTCCTTTGAAGTGAAGTGCACTCACTCAAACCTGGTGTTTAAAGGGTCTTAGGGTTTTACTCAAAGCTGTCAAAGATAAATGATCCTTTAGAATAATATAGTCAGCTTGATTACCATGCAAAAAGCTAAGCAGATATTTCTTCAGTAAATGGAGGAGCCTGTGACCTAAGTTTTTCATTTGTATGTGTTCCGTTCATGGTATGCACAACTTAATGTATAACAGTTATTTACAAAAAATGTCTCTTCTGGTATCAGTACTTTACTCCACTACTTATTTTTCTGACGACTTTTTACTTTGACTTCTTACATTTTGAACACAAATACCTGTACTTTCTACTTCTTACATTTTGAACACAAATACCTGTACTTTCTACTTCTCACATGTTGAACACAAATACCTGTACTTTCTACTTCTTACATATTGAACCCAAATACCTGTACTTTCTACTTCTTACATTTTGAACACAAATACCTGTACTTTCTACTTCTTACATTTTGAACACAAATACCTGTACTTTCTACTTCTTACATGTTGAACACAAATACCTGTACTTTCTACTTCTTACATGTTGAACACAAATACCTGTACTTTCTACTTCTTACATGTTGAACACAAATACCTGTACTTTCTACTTCTTACATTTTGAACACAAATACCTGTACTTTCTACTTCTTACATGTTGAACACAAATACCTGTACTTTCTACTTCTTACATTTTGAACCCAAATACCTGTACTTTCTACTTCTTACATTTTGAACACAAATACCTGTACTTTCTACTTCTTACATGTTGAACACAAATACCTGTACTTTCTACTTCTCACATTTTCCAAACAGGCTGGTTCCTTTAGTTTGAATGTGTGTTTGGTGGCGTGATCATTATTATTTAGAGTCATTGCGTGCCTATTGATTTGAACACGATCCGTGTATCCATCATTTCCTGGTCTTCTCTAAAGAAGAGGGACCAATGAAAACGTTGTCATGTTGCCGTTGTTCAGCATGGAAACATTCATTAGCTAACAATGACATTATTGTTCTATTAATATAAAGGGAGGTCAGGTACTCTTTAAAACAGCTGCTAGTTATGGGTACTTTTTACTGAAGTACATTTCAAAGCCTCTTTACTTTTACTTGAGTAAAGAAGTTTAGTCAGTGCTTCTACTTTTACCAGAGTATGTTCAAACATGAGTATCTGTACTTCTTCTTGAGTAAAGGACGTGTGTACTTTCAGGTGATATTTTCAGCTGCCATGCTGTAGATAATCCTAAACCTCAGGCTGAGTTGGCGATGTTGAAGCAGTACGGTCCGGATGTTCCCGAAGCCACGCTGCAGAAACTGGTGTCTGCTTTTGGAGAACTGAGGTCGATGGCCGACCAGGGAACCATCACCTACCCCTACTCCACTAGAGAGGTGGTCAACATCGTGAAGCACCTCCAGGTGAGAACACTCAAACCACGCTTCAACACTGAATTTCCCTTATTCCAGTTTTTGTTGCCAGACTATATTAAACATGAATAATTCATAACAGTAACGTGACTTGAATCCTGCGATGCTTTAATAATGCAAGACAGTGTCCTCACATCACAGCTGTGACAGAGAGACCCTGTTTCTGCCTCAGCACAGACTAAAAGGAATCAATATCACGTTTTATTTTTATGGGCTAATAATACAGTTTACACATTTGTCTCGGGGCTTTGCAGTGTATACAGACTACAACAACCCTCTGTCCTTAGACCCTCGCAGCAGAGGAATAAAAACTCCCCTAAAAACCCCTAAAAAAATTGCAGGGAAAAACATATATATTGGAAAACACCCGAAAAACACACAAACATTTTAAGAGGGAGTTTTGAATGTTGCGCTGGGTTGCACACACAAAACGTGTCAGAAAAAAAAGCAATAGCAATCCAATAAAAAGGCTGGGGGATGCGTGATGGAATAATAATACATCTGTGGCAGGATATAAATACAATTACAACATATATGATGTTATAAATCACAATATCTGTGCTCTTAAAGACTGGCTTTTTTCATTTTTAGATCAAATTACATTCAACTTGATTGTTATTAAAGTAGTCAAGTGCAAGAAAAGTGCAGTGTAATGTATTTAAAAGTAAATATGACAGATATGAACAGTAGTATACATGTAGAACACACTATAGAGGTAGCAGAAATGTAGATTGTATAATATAGACACTTTAGTCAATGGTATGAATATGAATACACTATATACCAGTATGGACAATTGCGCTGCCAGTGCCTTCACTTGGGAAAGGAAAAACCAGGATGTATGTTAGTGTGAAGGGCACACATGTTTGTTTTACGTTTAATAGTCAGTGTTGCCACGTCTCATTGTGGACATGTGTCTTTAGAAATGTGCACAGTATTTAGCCCGGAGAGAAAGACAATTCAGATTTGAGCTCCATGGCTGCAGATCAATAATTCAAATGTTTGGATGATTTCCCCGCTGACCTCCTTCTGTCATCCATCACCTCCAATATCGACCTCTGGAGAAACAGGGCACACACGAGGTCATTTAGTGGAGAGTCTGAATCGCCTCTTTCGTCCAAAATTAGCACCACACACTGGTCATCATGTATAAGAATAATAATTATAAAGCTTTATTTATATAGCACTTTTCCTACAATGCATGAGCAAGAAATTCCCCTCAGATTATTTGTTAAGAACTTTAAAAGGTACATGCAGCAAAATATAACATTTTATCAGGTTAATAGACACAAGGAGGTAAAAGGTATGATAATACAAATAAAATAAATAATGGTTTCTCTGACAGATAGGACACAAGACAACTGAGTCGATGCAACAATATAAAATATAAAACAAAGTGAACATATCGGTACAACAGAAATAAAAATAAAAATAAAAAGATTAAAGGGGACCTATCAAGCAAAATGCACTTTTTGATGTCTTTTATACATAACTATGTGTCCCCGGTGTGTCGGGGAACTCACGCAGCGTCAGAAAATAAAACCCTCTCTCTTTTCCTCCGTACCCAAATCTCTAAAAACGGGGCTACAACGGAGCTGATCCAGATTTGCGTCCGATATGACGTAATATCTGAAATGTAGGCTGGCTTTACACCCACGGCCCTATCAGAAACGTTGCTATCAGAAACAATGCCCGACTGTTTTGGACGTAATATGGTCGGTGTTTACATTAGCATCGCTAACACTCAGAGCTAACCTGTACTGGAGAGCATGTGTGTGAAGAAGCAGGACATAAAAAGGAACTCACCTTGTGGTATAACCGGCAAGAGAGAAAGCCTTTGAGCTCCATACTGTTTCAGAAACAATCCTTGATAATCCATGATATGGCGTTTCATCACGGCAGTATTTAGTTTAGACGGTAGCTGCCGGGTCCCGCATGAGCTCAGACCCCTCCTATCAATTTTTATTTTTTTAAAGCTTTATACCAAAATCAGCACTTTTGAAACAGGAAGTGAAATAGAGGGATATGAGGCATGGCTAGAATGGGTGATCTGTTTGGTATTTTGAGCAAAACACTTCATAGACATGTTTTTTATATATTTGTATATATCTGAGACCTATGCTATTGCCTAAAAATAGCTTGATAGGTGACCTTTAACCGTTAAATAGCAAATCAATATAAAGCTCCAACATGCACTTTTAGGAGTACCTCATGTGTATAGAGTCCTACAGAAATAAATCCTCTCAATTATAACGTATGATGATCAACTAAAAGTGTTTGACCGTGTCTGTGTCTGCAGAGACTTCTTCTTGGGTTGTTTTTGTATGTATTTGTGCTATGTTTTGGATGTGTTAGATCCACCAGGAGCCATATGTTACTGGTTAGTTTACAGCATCTCTCTCGTTTTCTCTGCCTTCATTCTGTCTTTGTTTACCTCAGTGGATCACCATAGAAACTGTGCAAGACAGAAACATGTATAGAGGCCAAAATAACCTGTCAACATCTATTTATATCACAAACACATACACTAGAGATGAGTTATCTTCCAGATAGCAGCAGGTTTTATTCCAAACTCTGTCCACTCAAGACCCTAAATCATATTAACAATCCTTCCTTTTTATCCCCTCTTCTTCATCCTACTTTAACCCTCCCTCCTATGTTATCACTTTTTCTAATCTCCCTGTCAATCCTCTCACGTCCTCCCTGTGTCTCTATTCCACAACTCCCTCCATCCTTCCTTTGCCCACTTTACTCCTGTTGGGAAAATAGTGAATGTCCTCTTCCAATATGAGAGTAACATGATAACAAAGGTATCCCAACTGTAGCTGTGTACATGACAGGATGTATGATTACCTAGAAGAGCATCAGGACTGTTTTAGGCATATGATAGCTATGTGATTAACATGATGATTCAGCCTCTATGGAGATAGACATATGACAAGCATGATCATTTCTGACGTGGAGCTAATCTGAAGTAAACATTGAATACTGCTTTATATTCCTCCATCTTGTGACTGTGTAACTCCCTCTCTTGGAGAGGACACTGTTCAGGAACTAGTTGATGCTCTGTGTGTGATGACTACTTCCATTCTGGAGAGGATCACAAATACATGGATCCTGAGATTGAAGCTCAAGCCGGGGACCAGGGATTATTATTATTTTTAAGTATTCAGAAAAAGTCAGATTTTTTTGATTTTTGAGAAAAAGTCAGATTTTTTAGATTTTTGAGAAAAAGTCTGATTTTTTAGATTTTTGAGAAAAAGTTTGATTTTTTAGATTTTGGAGAAAAAGTCTGATTCTTTTTTTTTTTATTTTTGAGAGAAAAAGTCTGATTTTTTTTATTTTTGAGAAAAAGTCTGATTTTTTTTATTTTTGAGAAAAAGTCAGATTTTTTTTATTTTTGAGAAAAAGTCTGAATTTTGAGAAAAAGTCTGAATTTTGAGAATTTTGTACGTGACAGGATGTACTGCTTTCTATTCCTCCATCTTGTGACTGTGTAACTCCCTCTCTTGGATATCAGCATGTGAAGGACACTGTTCAGGAACTAGTTGATGCTCTGTCTGTGATGACTACTTCCATTCTGGAGAGGATCACAAATACATGGATCCTGAGATTGAAGCTCAAGCCGGTGATGAGGGAGATTTTTCTAATACCTCCTTTTCTTCTACTCCCGCAGAGATTTCCCGGCGAGGGTTTGGCGAACGTTGTGCGAAACGTCTTCGACTTTGACTCGTACAACAAAGACACGCGGGACGTTTTGATCGAGGCGCTGCACAAACACGGCATTCCCATCGGAGCCAATCCCAGCTCCGTCAAACTGGCCAAGGAGTAAGGCAGCAAGACTTTAGGCTCACACACACACACACACACACACACACACACACACACACACACACACACACACACACACACACACACACACACACACACACACACACACACACACACATATTATTGCCGATGGATAATAGAGGCGATACTTGAAGGTCTACCTGCTTCTGTAATGAATATAATTACAATGTAACAATGCAATGCTCAACAACAGGCTAGTACAGCTAAACAAAATACATTTTTTTTATACTAAGATAACTTGACCTGCTTCGTAAAGCAGATATCATCATTTTAAAGATATTCCTAATCTATCAAAAGCTATAGAAGCTTGTTATGATATATCTTAACAGATAACAGAACAATGTAACGTAAATGTATAAGAAAGTTACAAAGATTGATACCAGACGAAAATAGCAACGGCAGAAAAATAATGATAAAAACTAATTAAAACAATTTAAAAAAACAACATTGAGCTAAAAAGCTACATGAGAAAAGGTAAATACAAAATATAACAAATTAAAGTGTAATTCGGGGCACGAAACCCGTAAAAACTAAAATGCTTAAATCAAATTAACAAAAATCTATATTTTACAAATAAAAGCCAACAAAACAACATTTTTAACCTCAAAACTTTCCAAAATGCTTTCAAGAACCCATTACAGTAAATGGTTGTTGACATCACTGCCAGTATTTACAGTACCTGTTGTTTTTAGAGTAACTTTAAGAAATGAAATCCTGAAATGCTTGAACCCGGCTGACTGGTTTCAGACTGAATCAACCGCAGGCTTCCATGAAGGGTTAAACTATCCTCACATTACCTCACCTTTCCTTTAGGGGAAAGCTTTCTAATACCACTACACTGTCTCATCATGCTCAGCTCTGTGTTTTAAATAAAGGAAAATATTTGTTTCTCATGTCTCCTGTGGTTTTATTTGACGTATCATATTCATAAATCCAGATTCAAAGATCTCTCAAGCCTCGAGACCAGAGCAGAAACAAGTATTTTCCTTAAAGTGGACCTATCATGCTATATTATAATAATATAGTGATAGGACCATACCTATATAAGGCATATTTATACTTTTTTTTTTTCAAAATACCAAACAGATCATGCATTTTAGCCATGCCTCATTTTGCTCAATTTGACATTTTTTAGCTCTGTTTTTGCAAGGGCTGATTCTGTGAGAACAGCACCATCTAGAGGCCTGGCATATGTACTACAGCGTCTCCAGCGCTTTAGAACGGCAATGGCCGTGGCTGTCTCCTCCTGATTGGTGGAGTTGGCCCAATAGCCGTAGCGCTGACGTCAGGACAGTGTTCAAATCTGGATCAGTTTTTATCAGATCCGTTGCAGCCCCTTTTTTAGAGATTTGGGTATGGAGCAAAATAGAGAGGGTTGTGTTTTCTGACACTTGGTGAGTTCCCTGGAACACCGGGGACACATATTCATGTAGAAAAGACGTACAAAAGTGCATTTTACATGATAGGTCCCCTTTAATGCATCCACTGCTTGTGTAGATTATTTGTTTACGTTGTGTTTAAAAATGCATCATCCGAGCACAGAGAGCCGTTTGTATCGTTCAGAATCCCTGTTTTTAAAGCCCATCTTAAACAGTTTGTATCCCACAACATCTCGTGTACATAAAAGCAAATAGTTCCTCTCTTGGTTTCCAATTTTGGACGCGGGAAACAAGAAACAGTTTCTCTTATGTACCGCATTGCTTTTCCATCAGAGAAATATTTCTGGTTAGTAGACAGTTCCATCTTTTAACCCGTTTATTAAGCTTGGGATTTCTGTTATTTTGTGGTTGTGTTGCATCTTATAGCCCCAAAACCTGCAGTTAATAAAGCTGTGGCTGCAATCCAGCTATGACTCATGGGAAGACCAGTAAACATCTGGCCAGACACAACAAGGAAAGCAGAGAGACACACACACACACACACACACACAAACCTAGACACACTCATTTCATCGGCGTTCTCTAGAGACTGGGATCAAATTAAAGCTTTTGTTTTCATGCAATGAGAACACGGCCTCCATCTGAAGTCATTTTGTGGTGTCCATGCTAATACCTTCAGAAGATGAGATCATTTTATTTGAAGTTGAGATGTAGAACGGTGACAGGGAAACCCACAATTTCGCAAAAATAGAACATTAGGGAAACCTCAAAATGAGCTCCAAACTCCGCTGTTTAACACACATGCCTTTCATTTGTATAAGTGCTCACATATTGGTGTATTTATACCTCAGTTATATTCAGTTGTTGGCAGCAGTAGACTCAGTGTGACCTTGAATCTGCAGGTTGCCCCTGCCAGAGGTCACGATGACGGGCTACTGGACCATCAACCAAACTGGGAACGCTCGCCGAAAACTGCTCTGTCCCACTGAGACACGGCCCATAGACATCAAGGTAACACACACACGGGTAACACACTCCTAGACACACTCATTTCATCGGCGTTCTCTAGAGACTGGGATCAAATTAAAGCTTTTGTTTTCATGCAATGAGAACACGGCCTCCATCTGAAGTCATTTTGTGGTGTCCATGCTAATACCTTCAGAAGATGGGTAACACACTCCTAGACACACAAACACGGATAACACACTCTTAGACACACACACAGGTAACACACTCTTAGACACACACACAGGGATAACACACTCTTAGACACACACACAGGGATAACACACTCTTAGACACACACACAGGGATAACACACTCTTAGACACACACACACACACACACACACACGGGTAACACACTCTTAGACACACACACACACACACACACACAGGTAACACACTCTTAGACACACACACACACACACACACACACACACGGGTAACACACTCTTAGACACACACACACACACACACACACACACACGGGTAACACTCTTAGACACACACCCATACACACGGGTAACACACTCTTAGACACACACACACAGGTAACACACTCTTAGATACACACACACACACACACACACACACAAACAC